GCAAAGAAGAAAATGTGAGAATGTAAATGTAAGAATTCAGTTCTTAATTCTGATTTTGTTCCTGCTTAGGCACAGACTTATTCCCCGTGAAATTGTTAAAGAAATATACATTTACTAAGGTAAAAAAAAATATGTTTCATATCATGAATGAGTAGAAGGATGGATACACATAAATAGTGCATTTATAGAAAGTTGTATTCACTAGTTCATGTTAATAATATTTCTAATAAAAGCTTATGCTCACTATGATAGCATTGAGCTCTTCAGTACACCACATAATGTTTAAAGTTTGTAATCCATATTCGTACCGAGCAACATGTACCTGATAACTTCTTATTGTAATTCTGCTAGATATCAACTAAAATTTAAAATGTTTTCCATTTAATGATGTTAGAATAATCGATATAATATAACATTTGATGAAGTTATTTCTTTAAAAACTCAGAGAAAATTTTTTCTTTGCACTCGCTTGATCTGTTTTCTCTAAGCTTAAGGTTTAAGGCTATTTGATAATGATTTGTCAATTTGGGCCTTACATATGAAAAAATACATTGTCATTTGCATGTTGCCAATTTTGAGGGGAATGCCCAAATTTGATTCAGCTTTAATCAATATACAGTCGATCACTTAATCAATCTCCTGATTAAAAACTAGAGGATACTGTGAGCAATGATCTCACTAAATGATATCCCCGCAACCCATATGATAATAATGGCAAAGTCCATTTAAAATATATGTACGTCAAAGCGTAACAGACGGACGGATGACAGACAGAACGGACATCCTTTCATTATATACCCATCCACTTTTCAACCTGGGGGTAAAAAAATGTATGTTTAAAAGCATGCAAACAAGGGTCAATCAAATTAAGTTAACAAAATGAATCGTGAAAAGGAGAAACCAAAGGTAAATTCAGATGCCCAGATGAAGGATATGGAGATAACGAACAGTATTCAATATCAAAGTCCATAAAACAATACAATACAATATAGGACCAGAGCAAATACGGGCCTCTAAAACATCAGAGGTGAGATCAGGAGAAATTAGATCCCTTTCGACCGATAACAAATGCCGTTTCTCCTATGCATTGTACAAGTACTACATATGTATGTATACCGTCAGTGAAATTAAGTATAAAGTCAGTAAACTTTCAAATGGTTTCAAACATGTTACACAATGTACGATCAAACGGAAGGTTTTATTTTCAAACAAGGTCATTGCAACTACCCTAGAATTTATGAAAACGTAGAAGTTTATAAAAGAATTTGAACAAAGTTGTTGAAATCATGAAACATCAAACAATTATTTGTCAGTATTTTTTATTCAAAAATTGTCAATTCTTCCTTTTCCGAGTATATGCTCTCACGCGTCAATTTAGTTGGAAGGCGTAACTTCCATTTACAAGTTAGGTAGAATATTACTTCATAAATACGGGAGCTGACATCGGAAAAGCTGGCCTTAGTCCGTTTGTCATACAGTGTATTTGTAAGTTGCTAAATATTGTCTATAGCCAGCAAAACATCCAAAACACAATATGAAATAGATGTTGCGAAATGGGACCTTTTGTATTTCTTTTACAGATATGAAAATTGTTCTTCACCAGGAAGTGAAATTCCCATGGACCTTCTAATAATCGTGTGTATTGTACTCTTCTTTTATCACGAAAATGTCAATTAAAGATTCAAGACACGGACATCAAAAGAAACTTTACACGAATATCAGGCATCTTACTAGGATGTTTGAATCAATTGATGATGGTTTTAACGCTGGTGTCTTTTTTAACCTCCATGACAGACATTATGACTGCTGTAAAACATTTAAGTTTAAATGTTACCTTATACATCTTTGAGAACCCTCTCAAATAATTTTTCTTTTTAAGGTACTGACATTTTATCTTTTTAATGCCGTATTCCAACTGCTGTGAAAATATAGCCCAAAATAGAGATGCAAAGGGAAATATTAGTATTTTCTGTTTGTAACAATAGGTTAAAACATGATAAAATCTTTATTTTAAATATGAACAATCAAGAAAATCATCATTTTGCTTCCAGATGCATCTGTGTTACTGCAATTTTTCTCTCATACATGTACATATGGTATCCTTATTTGACCGACTAATCATGTTTCGTAGTCATTGGTCAAAATTTGTCTTTTATATACACCTTTAATGATTCATTTTGTATACAATAAGTAGCTGAAAAAATAAATCAACATGCTAACTTACAATATTAATTAAATTTTGTTTTTTTTAATCCAATATTCGTATTAAAAATAGTTTATAAAGGTGAAGATAAACAACAACAGTCATTCTCAATCTGTAAACATTACAAATCTGTACATAGACCATTTGAAGAAGGCCCAGTTTGTATCCTTACAAGGTAGATTCCTCTGCTCAGTATGTGATCATGATTTAGCGTATGTAAGAATGATTTATCAGTTCTACTGATTAATTTATTTTTACTTTTTCCCATTTTTTTAAATTCATATTTTTCTCATATTAAAAAAAGTGATTGAAATAAATAGTTAAAACATTTAAACAAATATGAGATACTCGTCCACTCGCACACACAATCCGCATCCATTATGCACACCTCTTATATAGTAAAAAATAATACATGTTAAATTAGGGATGTCAAAATTGTCAATAATTGATATTCGAATATTCACGAATATACACACATGCACATGTATCTTCACTCTTCCAAGTAGTATAGGGTTTGTGGCATTATTTTGGAATAAAAACTCGTGTAGAGCTCGATAAATGCACTGCAATTATATATGTTTCTTTAAATTATTGAATATGACATAATTTATATCCAAAATGTAATAATTGTTTTTTGAAAATTCAAAGATTCTTTAATTAGTATGTTCCAGATTAATTGATCGTCTAACTAAAGTCTACACTGATAACTCCTACAAACTTATACCAAGCAGAACAATTACATGTATCTTACGGTGAAATATTAAAAGCGATTACTTTTTGCTAATTATAATTTCCTGTTAATGATTTTAACGATATTTACATAAACAAAACTGTAAAACTGTGTCCTTACAACAATACAAGCTGATTGTAGGTACTGGACACTATTATACCACTAATTAAGTAAAAAACAAATAAATAAAAAATTACTCTGATACACTCTTTACACCTTCAAGGTAATCCGAGAGGAGTGTTTTTTTTTAATTTTGCACAAACTTGATTCAATTTCTAATAAAATTTGCCAGGTTTTTCTCTCTTTTTAATGCTTGTATACTTAAAAACGAATATTCGAATCATGAATTTATATTCGAATATCAACTCATCGAATGAATATTCGAATATACGAATATTCGTTGACATCCCTAATGTTAATACAGTTTCAGAGGTCCGACAATTTTTCACCTTGTTTGGTTAACTTTATGATAAACGTAATTTAACTCTTTAATCGTCAACTTTCCTTTCTTATTCAGCAATATACCTTCTTCACCTGCAAATAGGGGATTATATCTCTCAGTTGACTCGATACTAAAGAACATGTTCTACGTATGTACAATTTCTAAAACGATGTACATTATTGACAAACATGTGGATGAGACAAGAATATCTGCAGTCTCGATTAAAGTCATTTTTTGTTAGTTCTATTGTCGATTCAATGACCTTGGCAGTAAGTCTTTTTTTTTATTGAGTCAACATTTTTGACTGACGTTTACCATAATGATTGTTAAGCTATCATTTACACACTTAATTGTCGACGGATCATTCCGTTATTTCATAGTCGATCATGACAAGAAGCACACGGCTGTTGTGATTATTGTAATCCATCACCTTTAAGATATAGAAATGAAATAGATTTCTCTCTTTAAAATTCAAGTAAATCACACTCAAAAACCTTTTAAATATTACCCAAATACCTAGGTATATTTGTACAAAATGTGCTGAAAATTATACCGGCAACTTATTATAATTGAAACAGTCAAAAATAAAGTTATAATTGGTACAACTCCTATTAATAATTTTCGTTAAGACGACATTTACTGAAAATAAAACAGGTAAGTAATTAAGATTATCCGGCAAAGAGCAATCAGACAAAGGAATATCTGATTTTGAGCCAAGTGGTCTAGAATTACTTTTGTAAATCATCAGAACATTTTGGTTTCCTGTAATCGCCCCTATCATTTTTATTTTATGTACTAGAATATGTGCTTCTTAAAAAATATGTACATTTTAATATTCGTATTCGATATGTCCCTCCTTCTACACATTAAATTGCTTCATACTTTAACAATTTTAATCTTTTGTCCTTTGTAAATGATGGAGTCCGTGCATATGCAGATCAAAACACTTTGTTTTATACATTTTTATGTTTATCGTGTCTTTTTATTTGATGCAATTTTTTTTTCTATTAAAAAGATGATTTTTCTCTTTTTCTTTTTTCAAAAGAAAATAATATAAATTTTTTTCTTGAATTAAGATCTACGATTCTTCCCCCCCCCCAAAATGTATTCAATAACTATCGTACCGTTTTGTTTTGTACAATTCACATCAGGTACAAGAGGAATAACTCTATGAGAATTAAGGAGACATTTAATTAAACTGAAAGTTTTTACCGATTCATTGCCACTGAATAATATAAGTAAAAAAAAAACAAACAAAAATATTATAATCTTCTTTCTATTTTTCAAAACTATACTTTTATTTCAGAATTCGATCTTATCTTTGTATTTTGTTTAATTTACTGAGCCATGACTGCATTTCCCCGTTATTTACCGATCATGAAATGGAGCACATGGCGGGTGTGACCGGTCGGCAGGGGATGCTTACTCCGCCATGGTTTCTGATCCCACCTTTGATGTTTTGGAGGTCCGTGTTTGCCCTTGAGATTGAATTCTGTTCGTTATCCCAACATATTTCAAGAGTAAAATCACAAACACAAAAGGCTGTGGCATTAATTTTTAGCATGACATGACCTTTTTTAGATGTCTTAGGCTACATTAAGGCAAATATCTATAGAAAAAAATAATATGACAAACTATGCCTTTTATTTTTTATTTCATTATTTTTATAACAGAATACAGTGAGTACAATTTTGCTTTTATAATCATGTGATTGAATATATGAAAAGAAACATTCAAAGAGACATTCGTAGTTTCATTTACAGATATGAATTGTTCATGGGAACTATTTTGTGCTATGTATATATACATCTATTTTTAACAATGTTTCACAGATACTTATAAAATACTGATTAAAATACACGCATACATTTTTATAATATTAAAATAATAATGAATATCATGAATTCCAAAAAAATGTACATGTACAATATGAAGTGGAATAAAAGCAGAGTCATATATTGTGAAATGAAAACGGTAGTTTAATCAAAATAGTTACAATTATGTGAAAGTATCAAAACATATAAAAGTCAAAATATAGTACCATATTACATACTAAAACCCACATCATATGTGGTATAAGAATGAATATCTTAAAGGATGATAAAACATAACTATTATATTAATTTTGATATGTAAAATATGTATTATCGAATACATATATCATGCTGACATTCGTTGAAATTATACCTTGAAGTTTTTCCAAACTATATACGGATAACTGATAAAGCATCGTGCACAATAATACGGTATAATATAAGCGTACTATTCTACCATACCAAATTGTAGTGCAATATTCATTTAAACTATAATCTAACAGTTCAACACTGCTACTACACTTACATGTAATAAATTGTCATGTGATATCATACGCAATGAAAATGTTAATTTTCTAAAATGTTCAAGTGTTTTAGAAAAAAATATTTCAATATCAACAACTGTTCCCTGAATATGAATATTTTTTACGGGGGGGGGGGGTAGACCTAGGGTGTATTTTTTTGAATAATAAAAGACACACTTATATTTTGAATTAAAATAAATAACCAAATATTTCGGAAAATAACATGCACATAGCGAAATATACATATAAATATAGTAGATGTATATATTCTTTGGGCATTTAATGCAAATTGAAACCGTTATTTACTTTTTTAACAATGTATATTTCAACAAAAATGTCCAAGATTTCTCCATATTGAAACTGAATGAAAATTATAAGAGAAGAATTATCGGAATATGACAAAATTTTGAGATAAACTGCAGGAGTTCATCACTGAAGTTAATGAATATTATTTATATATCGGCGCTTCAGTATGCTTGACAAGAATTTTCTTCGATGTCTATATATATGCAAAAGGTGTGATTAGTTACAGTATCATTACAACTATTTTGGAAGACAATAATCTTTTAGAATGAAAAAAATCTTAGGCATTTAAAAATCCAATTCTATAGGCAAATAAAAAGAAATAGATGTCCTAATTAAAAAAAAATTGCAAATGAAGCTGAGCAATATTAACTTGCCAAAATATAAACAATTTGATCATAATCTCTTCAAGAACACTTGTTTCCTTTATTTTTTTTTTACATCTTAGTGATCTCATGTAATTGTGATTCGCCAGAAATATCTCCATTTGTTGAATTTCCATTTAATTTGTCAATCGCAGCATATTCAGACACACCCCTCCTAGAAACACCTGCATTCAATGATAAGTTATCGGTCCGATTACTTTCTTCTGATATAGAAGAACAGCGTGACGTGGAATTCATTTGTGGATCAGGATTGACATACAGATGTGATTCAAAGTCGTCCATGTCTGCTTCTAATTGTTTTAATCCACTAAGATCTATGCTATTTCGGTTAATAGCTTGAGGTTCTTCTGCTACGTAGCTCCTCCTTTCCGTTGGAATGGATTCTTCTAATTCAAAGTTATGATACACATGACCTTCAACCTCTGGTTTCTCCTCAGCTGTGCTCTCATTGGCTAAATTAGCAAAGGCATGTTCATCGTTTTTCAGCCGATGAGCTTTTATTTCATTTTTGTATTTTCTAACAAAGAATCCCCTCTACAATAAAAAAAAAAGGAGCATTAAGAAAAGATATTACATGTAATACCATAAAAGTACTCGTATACAGTTAGTTTTTTTCTTTAGTACTTGATAGTGTAATTATTATCAAATGCAATCCAAAAGAATTTCGTTTTAATTTGTGTTTTGCATCATGAATAAGAAATGAAAAAATATTTAAGCAATATACGAAGAGGAAACAATTAAAATTTCAAAAAATTAATTGTCAAATATCAAAAATGAAAAAAAAATATACCTTATATAGAATAAAACAAACAACTCCAAGAATGAGTAAAGAACTTCCAATGATAATTAAGACAATTCCCCAAGTAGGTAGAATCGGCTCTTTCTTACTGGGAAGGAATCGTGTCTTTACGGAGGTAGACAGGTACAGGGAATTCTTCACAAGTAAAAGTTAAATAAAAATGTTTTTAATTTTATGTTACAAAAATTATAATTGAAAACAACGAACATTGATTTATTGAAAACAAATCATTTGGTAACATTTCCTGTGGTGTTAATCTTATAATTATATTGAATCTGATAGTAAAATAAAAAAGAAGAAAAAGCTCCCCAAAACAGGTATGTATGGGGGTATTTTATTCAGATATGCAATGCTAACAATTCAGACACTCTTTTTATTATCCTGTATTTTACTGGGTAATATAATCAGAAGTAATAATATCATCAAAACAGTGATGCTAGTCTAAGAGCAATCATCATTTCTTTCATTACTTATTTTTTATTTTATCATGAACTTTACGAGGTAATATAGTCAGTGGTGTTTACATAAACAAAAAACAATGCAAGAACAAACATAAAGAGTGAATTCAAGCATCTATCAGATGAAACATACATGTATGTTAATTTAAAAAAATTATGTATGGACATTTAAAAGTAAATCCTGATGCATCTGTCAGTTTCTAAAATGAAGTGATTGTTGTTCATAGAAACACTTATATATATCTTGTATTTTTTTATTACTCAAAATGGTCATTATAAAATCTATTTGTTCTCGGTTTTTTCAAATCCATTCCATATAAAAATTACGGAAGCTGTTACTTTCCCGGTAAAAAAAATTATCTGATGGCCGTCATATATATAATAACTGGCGACCGCCAGAATATTATCTGGTTGCCGACAGTTCTATATATCTGGCGGTCGCAAAAATAAATAATTATTTGGCGGCCGCTTTTTAATTTTCTAGGTGCCGTCATATTAGTTAACTGCAAACCACCCGATCTGGCGGCCGCCAGCAAATTATTTGGCGGCCGGTCGATAAGTTTCTCCCAGCTGCCAATTATTTATTTTGGGGGGGGGGGGGGCAACCAGATGAAATATTTATTCTACCTTACACCTACCAACTTCCGTAAAAAGTTATAAACATTGATCATTATTGTAAAGATTGAAATCGTCAACACGGTAAAAACAATAGAGGTGGGACCAGTTGTCTCGAGCTCGTCGGAGAAAACATTTTTCTTCTGTTGACCTGTCACACCCATGGACACTACAGGTATGAACAAATTTATGACAAAGAAAGTGGAATAGTAGTCAAAGTAGTATTGATACAAAAGTTAAACAATTGATGAGAAATATCTCATTCAGTTTACCAGCACTTACCCCTCCGTTTCTTTGAATTTCTAAACTGACTCCTGGCTTTTTTACTTCCGGTGTGAATTTGGTTACGATCTGAACATTGTCGTTACCTGTCTGACTCTGAAAAATGATATAAAAAAAGAAGTACGAGTAACATATTTTCTTTTTAAAAAGTTTAATGAAAGTTTTTAATTCATTTTCATTTTTGTAAAGTGTATCTTTGTAGATATAATATAGAATATAAATTAATTCGTATCCATGTCGAATTTTATGAATTTATGTAACTTTTAGACATTTTTAGAAAATCATATGTATAAATAACAGCCTAAACTAAAATTCATATTCTACACAACCACAGTACATAAAACACAAACACTCTAAGGTGGGATCAGGAGAATTGAAGAAGTAAGCATCCCGTGTCCACAAATCAGTCTTAGTTACTTGTATTTATTGCTTAGGTAAAGGTTTTCAAACATATGTCAAAATGGTACTCAATTGGTAAGTGCCATTTGCTAACAAGGTCAAATAACTACCAAATAAGAGATAGAACGGAATGGTGTGTCTAAAAATCAATAAAACGGTTCATGTTACTTTTCATTTCTACTCAAAAGACATGAATATTCCGAATTCTTAATATTTTCATTTGCAAAACAACCAATAAATAACTTTAAAAAATCAAAATAAGGATACTACAAAATCAAGAAATTGAAACAAAGAACTATGCTTATTTTCAGAGTAAATTAATCCTACCAACTTTACGGACTCCACTGAAATGCAAAAGGTAAAGTTAACGAACAGTGATATTAAAAAAAAAACAAATCTGTGATCAGGTTTTAAACACAGACTTCCGGATATATCAAAGATGGCATCAGGATCCCCTATTGACTGAACACAACTGCCATGACCCTATGTCTTGATAAAGTAGATGAAATATTCTGTAGTTCAATTTAGTATAAAAATTCAGTAAAAAAAGGTCTGACATCTCGATTCAAATTTTTTGAAATGTCATTATAACGACCATAGAAAAATGCTATTTTTAAAAGAGGCTGTTGTAATACCTTTAGCATCAGCATATACATGTATATAAGTAGAATATCAACATACATTAAATTTGGTTTGATCCAATCTCGTATTTGAACTATCAAAGTATACAGAATATATTTTCAAATCATTGTTAGATATTTGAACCACACATTATCTCGTTATACGTGATGTTTTAATCAATAATATTTATATGATTATTGATCAATCCAGATCAGGCATATAAAATCCTGTGGTAGCAATTTTGAGATGACCCTCTAATATATTGCAAATGAAGAAAGAATATGAGTATGAACATTCTTTCAAAAAGAAGTATTATTCTGTAAATGTACTTATTCAAGAATATATAAAATTTAGCAGCAAGGATATTTAGGAGTAGTTAACGAAACCAAAAATTTGCAATATCATTTTTGAAATACGTCATAAAGTGAAGACATGAAAATACCGAAAATGTAATTTAGTACATATACATCGTAAGTCTGTTATATCTTAAGTGATTTCCATTCCAATAAAAACAAGATGTGTTTGTGAAACACTATGCATCCGGCGGCAACAAAACTTTTAAAACGCTATTTTCAGCATATATATATGTCACAGTCAAGGTCACAACACTATAGACCTTGGTGTCATTTGAAAGAACTTGATTAGTAAAGTATGGATACCAAATATGAACTCTCTTGTGGTTTAAAAGTTATGGCAAAGGTACGGATAACTATTTATAGCATACAGGTCACAGTCAAGGTCATTGAACTTGAAGTCATTTGAAAGAGATTACTTAGCGGAGTATGCATATTAAATACGCAATCTCTATCTCCTATGGTTCGAAAGTTATTGCAGAGGTACGACAAAAATTAGTTTTAGCATACAGGCCACAGTCAAGGTCACAAAGTCATTGACCTTGGTGTCATTTAAAAGACATTAATCAGTGGAGTAGGCATACTAAATATAAAGTCTCTATCTTTGATGGTTCAAAAGTTACAGCAAAGGTAACGAAAAAACTATTTTTGGCATACAAGTCACAGTCAAGGTCACAAGGTCGTTGACCTTGGTGTCATTTGAAAGAGCTTAATTTGTGAAGTATGCATACCAAATATAAAGTCTCTATCTTTCAAGGTTCAAAGTTATGGCGAAGGTTAAAGTTTGCAGATAAAAAGCTATTTTTAGCATATATGTCACAGTCAAAGTCACAAGGCCATTGACCTTGGTTTCATTTGAAAGAACTTAATTAGTAGAGTATGCAAACGAAATATGAATTCTCTATCTTTCATGGTTCAAAAGTTGTGGCGAAGGTTAAAGTTTGCAGACAAACAAACAGACAGACAGGACAATATACGCCCGATTCTATCAATCCTGGCGCATAAAAATAGCACACAAAGCTATTATAATAGAAAAAAATCTTACATTTATTGTATCATACAGGTTTTGTGCCACGTCATAATAAACAACTACCAGTATGAAACTATTGTACATGAAAGCCCCTACTTCACACGTCAATCTGTTACAGACTGCACCTCTCTCACAATTCTGAAAAAAGCAAAAATATGTTTCCACTTTCTCACGTCATTAATTTTTTTTCCTGTTCAAAACTTTTCTCTTGTAAAGGAGGAAAATGAGAAGATGATGATTAAAAGGTACTCCTGTTTCCTTTAATGACATAATAAACGCTCGGTAGTTCAGATCCGTCTCTCCCTCTGGTACTAAAACTTGATTTTGGCACTGAATCAGGGTATAGTTAGTCGCAGAGGAAACATTCAAAAGCTAAAAATGGAAATAAATAAATAGATGAAATGGATTAACTATACATCTACCAACACTAAGTGCATAATGTTTACTAAAATTAAATTTAATTTTTAAATTTTATTCGGTATTTGTATAAATGCAATTTTAACATATTATAAAAATAATAAATTTAGTATAAATCATTGTTCAAGAGTACTAGTAACCAAATTCGAAGATTTTCTTGGACATCAGCTCTCCGAAATTTGTATTTTTTACAAATGATTATATCGTCAACGTTTTAATAAACTTAATAGTCCTAAATTACAGGTAACATAGCTCTAAAATGAACATTACTCAATGAAATTTGAAAAACATTCTGCATCAGTGCATTTGATTTTGATTCAATTTCATTTCTAAAATAATGCTAGAGAATAGTAAGCCTTGTTTCATCATTATGAGAGAAACATCTCTTAAATATATTTACAATGCTGTATACTTTTTTTTTCATCATCCGAGATTTATCCCAACATTTAAGGTAGGATTCTTCTCATATTTCTTGTATTTAAAAATTAATGAAATTTTCACAGAATCAAGAGGACAATATCACAAAAATATTGTAAATTTCGCTTTATATTAGAGGCAAGGTCAGGTCAAGGTCATTATCTTTTTCCTTGACATTATGAATAAAAAAGGACAGTTGTCAATCATGTGATGCCTACTTCTATTTCAAAAGTTTAAAGATTGTTTCTTTTGCATAAAAAGACAAAGATATATTGGGTCTATAGCACGATATTTCCAAATTTATATAAATAATTTAACTAAACTGGATATTGGCTAATCCGAATTTTCTCTGTTTTTCTTAATTACAGGATATATTGTTATTTTCATATGCTTCCTATATTTAACTTTTTTTATTTTCACATATAATAAAGTTGTCTTATAAATGTACAAAATGATACAAAAACAAAAAAATTACTAAGAGAGAAAAATCTTTTTATGGATTTTTGACTCAAATTTTTTTTTAAAAGCTTACATAGTTCTAGTTTGCTTGAAAAATCATATTTATTTGATATATTTTGAAAGTTAAGTCCCTTATTATTAATTTAACTTATATTTGAAAATGTCTTAAACTCTTTGATTGTGTAAAAAATATAACTAAATTTATTTTTCTATCTGAATTTTGAGAGGCAGAGAAGAAGATATTTTCATACGCCACCATTCCGCCAAAAATATAGTCCCTGCTAGTTTTCAAACGCAGTTTACCATTTCTATTTAAAATTTATCGGAAAGAAAAACATGGTCTTTGGAATCCCTTATACCTAAATATATAAGAAATATAAGCAAATATACTTTGAATGTTTCATCTAGTCAGAAACCAGAGAAGAATCCTACCTTAATTTAAAAATTTTACACTTCAGTGCTAAGATATAACTACTCACAATTCTCCTTGCTTTAACAAGGCTTGAGTGTGCATATTCCAGGTTAAATGTCATCGTGTCCAGAAGATTGCTGGGTCCAGTGTTAACTATCTGAATACTGTGGTTCACCTCTATGGTGGGATTTGGTGGGTTGACTTTTGTTATGTATGTATCTGGGTTTGCAGCCCTAATAATTTTGGTATATTCAATATATGTTTATAATGCATATGTAAAATTTTTAGAATATCTAAATTCTACATCTAGCAGCTGAAACTATAATTATTTTAATATTGAAAATTTATTCTAGCATGCTTTCAATTTTTCGAGCAAATTCTGCATGTTATTTCATGATCTAATATATTTGTGAATATATTAAATGATTTTATACTTACACATTGTAAATAGCCATCACTTTAGTCAAAATTCTGACCGTTTTGTTAAATGTGTTGTCCTGCAAATTCTTATCAGTACTATCTGATTGAACTTCTACCTTCAGATCAAAAGTATCGACGACTGGCAGTAATTCACTACTGTTAAATAGAACTCTGAATGCTAACTGTTCACCTGGGTCGAAACGCTGTTTATTAAATGAACACTTTATTGAGCCAACAGTCGATGAACAAATAAGAGAGTCTTCATCACTTTGGTCTTCTATGCTATATAACGTCATATTTGGATGGAAAGTAAAGAGGATTTCTGTATTATAAGACGGCTCGCCTTGGTTGCTGATGGATACATCTATGGAATATTCTGATTGTGGTCCGGTGACCAATGTGTCTGGTGAGGTGACCATTAGTTTGACATCAGATTCACATATCTCATCAACACATCCTTCTCTTGCAAGCTGATACTAAAATCATTTATTACATCGTATAAGCAGAAGTTTTAGCAAAGATTTAATTTTGGCATTATATACTGCCAACTAAAATTATGCTAAAATTATGCGTTTTATTATAAGCTTTATTGAGAATCTAAAATTGCTATGTGCTTAAAATAAAAACATTTTAATTAAATGCAAAAATTTCCACTTTTTATTTTATTTTAAAGTTCTTATACATTGACTTTGTATTATTGACTATATATTGACCTTATGAAAATACCATTTAATATAATACCTATATTCTTCAAATAAGTTACTTTAACGTACTTTTTTAACAAAGCAAGGGGAATTAATATTATTGTTTTGCTTCCAACTTGCAGTATTCTAATGGAAGTATAAGCTGAATTACTTTGTGTTATCCTCATAATTATTTCATTGATAGAAAAGTATTAACTTCGCCTTTATATTCATGCATATTCAACGTCTATATCACATTTTGTGATTTTTTTCCCTCGATATTTCGTATCAATAATGTACGAGAAAGTATCAAATTTGTAAGTTGTTAATATTTCTCGGTCGTAAAAATATTTTTAAAAATTCGCCATAGATTAAAAACATCTACGTTATAAAATAATTAAAAACACTAATTAAATACATTGCTCATTTTTTTTCAAAATGGATATTGTTTCAAAATAAAATAGTTGAAGAAACAAATAAATCACTCACGGAATATTTCCGTGACTTTGCAAATGGTTCATCGTTATTAGGATCAAATTTGTTGACTACGGGACAGCTAACAGTACACTGTGTATTACCAGTAGTTGATACATTGAACTCTACTTCAAAGTCCACCGGAACAAACAGACCCCTCATATTTTCCTGTACAAAATAATAATAAATATGACATGACGTTCGTCTCATATAAGGTCCGAGAAATCAGATTTGTTTGGCATATAATGTATCATAAATGTATGAGCCACAACAACTTCTCTTTGAAAATGGATTTGTAATTAAATACTATCTTCCTTTCTAAACAATTCCTGGTGACTTTTCTTTTAAAACAATTAGTAAAATAGAAATATTACCAATAATGAAAAAAATCATACCCAGTCATCTCTAACCATGATTTGCAGAGGGTCAACTGGGCAGGCCAGATCAGGAGGGGCTTTAAATACTGTAAAGGTCCCATTCACTTTGCTAACACAACTCTCATCTGACTGTTTAAAGCAAACACGACCCAGTTTGGAGATACTGCTCGCAAGGAAGGTTTGATCAGCTGTTATTTCATATGTTACCACTAAGTAAAAATGAAACACAGTGATGTATATAAGTGTCACTTTCAAGATTTTATGAGTTTTAGAATACTCTATTTTTGGTTTATAAATCAAAATAAATATTTGCTTAAATGTTCTTATCTTCATTTTAAATAAAGTTGTCTAAATGGTCCTGTCTGGTTTTTGTGGCAAAGAAAATGCTACAAATCCTTAATTCTTCTTTGAAATTATGGTACAAGTAACTTACATACATCCGAGGGTAAATTTGCACCATCATAATCGAAACAGACGTTCAATGTAAACCCCGTGGTATTTAGTGCTATGACTGAAGTTTTAGTGAGGTTGGTTTTGGTGCCCACTTTCATAGTTATTGGAGGATTAGTAAAAAGGATGAGGGCCATATCTGAACCATATGCACCAATGGAAAGGTCTGAAAAAAGTAAAAAAAAAAATTCTAGAAATTTTGCCAGAAATGTTTTGATGTTTATATTTTAAAAATAACATTTGTAAATGTACAACACACAAAGAATACATAAGTTTAAGTATTTATCAACAAATTTATCTTCAACAATAACAGCAATACCTCATTCATACCAAATCAAAAGATATATCCTACTGAATAAACATGTTGTTATGATAAAAAAAACAATTATACAAACCTGCATACTGGTCACTATTAAAATCTGCTGGGTGCTGAGTAAATGAGCTACCAAATGTAGACAGTGTTGTACCAGAGGGGGCCACGCTTGCTGCAGTAATTGTCTGTGTCAAGTAAAATCCTCTCTTGTACCCCATATATACAAACACTGCACCTTGTCCATCATTTTCAAATGGTGCTCCAATAACGACGTCTTAAGACAGAATTTTCAAATGTACAGCATATGTAATACTAGATAATAGATTATCTATTTTCCATTTTTTTGGCCAACATAATTGCTCCATTGTATACTAGAAACAAGCAACATATAGTTTAATTGTGTAATATAACATTTGATATCTAGGAATGTCAATGGGAATGTCTCGTTTAATCTAATTCCATGGGTCTTACAATAGTACACATTTAATGACTGTGTTTATCTCATGACAAAAGGATTACACCCATCCCAAGCAAGACTGATTAAGAAAATTAGCCTCATGTATTTTCAAAAGAAAATTCAAAGTTAATTCTTTACAATCACCTAAGTCAGCCTGCTATATAAACACCTATAAGTTCAGCTTAATTTAACTAATTACTTGTATGAAGGTTGGTCGAAAATTTCGTGGACTTCTGTCATTTCCGTCATATGTTATCCAAATTTGGAAATATTTAAACAATAAATCCAAATAATTTGCATTATTTTTTTTAATATCACGATTTATTTAAAAATTATCCAGATTTTTAAACTGCAAAAAGGATAGCGGAGCAGGTAAAAATTTAGTAAGTTACAAACAATACACTAAATAAAGTTTGTAGTCATATTCTCTGTTAAATTGAGCAAAAACAACAAACTACCTAGAAATTCAAAATAGGAATTGTCACATCGATTCGTACATGTATTCCAAATTATGGCTTAAAATTTTGGATAATTGAAAAGAAATCAACTTGAGAAGATAGGTACATGTAGTCCTAATTGAAAAAGACAAAAACGATGACGTTTTAGAACGTCAAGGGCCAGCAGATAACGATGTAATTTTGTGCTATACTCGAAAAATCCTGAATAAACTCTTAAAATGTTGGAGGAATAAAACAAAATATGTCATCAGCAAGTTGTGCATGCGAGACCGAGTAGTACAGGCAGTATTTGAGTGACAGAGACTCTAAATCGGATGAGGACAATCTTTGAAGAAACGGTTTAACTGTAAAAAAAAAAACTGAACAAAAACTTTAATAGCTTAACGTCAAGGAAAGACATGGGCGCTTCAGACGTTGCTTATCCTGTGAAAGCAGACTTAATTAATGAAAAAAATTAAAACTTTAACAAAGAAAATTATATAACGAGAGCAATTCTTAAAAAAAATAAATGTCAAGTATTAAAAAAAGGATTTAATGAGTAGGTATTGGATTAAACTGTGTGAAATGTATAGGGATAGAATTTTTTAAAGAAATTCTTTACGCTATGTTTTGACGTTGCTCCGCGGTACAAAACATATTGATTTTAAAATGAAGTAAATCAATTTCTCTTCAATCGAATTGAATGAAACTTCACATATCAACAAAACAAATATTTTTACATATTATATCATGCTTATTTTAAATTTCTAGTGAGTAATATAACGACGATTGACATCGTCCACGAACTTTTTGAACAACTCTCATACACAGGTCTGGAACATTTTAAACTCTTTTTTGTAATATCATAATATTTACATTTAACAGTGTTTTTTTTCTTTATATGACTATGAAAATTAAATCGACATTCAAGATTCAAACACATGAAATTGACCATTAGTGACAAGACTTTCTTGCGAATGGAAAGCAAAGCGCACGAGAAATTTGAAAGCGCTCGACTGTAAGTTCATATCGCAGAGGTATGTTATTTTTATATGAGAAATAAAATCGATTAGTAAGAGTTTCACTGGGATATGACATGCACAAATTTGGCATGTGATCAAATCTATTATAAAGAACCTCGAGTGTTATACAATGTGATCAAGTGACAGACTTCATTCCATGTCCATACGAAACTCTAGAAATTTATTTTGTTTCAAACATCTTAAGTGACTGCAAAGAAATAGCGTCAAAATGTATATAAATAAAGATTATTTTAACATAATTATAACTCTTTTTTTCGTAATATTAAAAATGACACAAATAACATCGTTGGTGTTCATATCTATTAAAGTAATGATTGTTACCATTAAATCCATCGTTATTGATATCGTTGAGATTGGCCATGGCAAAACCAAATCTGCACCATCTACATTTAGACCCCTCTAGAATTTGTGTCATCTGTAAAGTTTCCTGAAAATATACATGATATAGCAGAAGAGGTAAAATGCCATCGTTTTTTTGTACTGTGCAACTTATAAGTGGTTTATACGAACAAAAATCATGAATATTATACAATGTATATGTATTTTCCTCCTTCAGAGATACGAGGGTCGTTAGAAAAGTTCGCGGACAAGTTCTGTTGCCAGTGAAACTCTGCAGATAAAAACTGTACGTATTTTTCAAAAAATATGCAAAAATGGATATTTTCCGATTATCTCTAAATAATATACAAGTATACGATGTAGACTTTACAAAATTGCAGGATTATATAAACAGATATTAGATTTATTTAAAAGGATTTAAGAAAAAAAGCTTTTGTTACTTCAGGTAATATATTCATAACCATGCTTCCCATACACTTACATTTGTCTGCCTGTACACATACACCCGTCCCATTTCCTCGATGCTATGATAGTATGTAGAATACGTCTGCATTTCACTGTACATAGGTGCCCCAACGAGAAGATAGTCTGATCCACCACCATTACCGGGAATAACACACAAGACGGATCCAAAATAACTGCCTGGCTGAAATAAGGATATAGTTTGCTTTATAGTTAGAAAATTTCACCTTTAAGATTAAAAGGGGTACATAGTATGAAAGCTTAGACTCTACAATATTTAGAAATAAAAAAATTATATTCTTTGTCTATGTTTTTTTTTTGTGTGGGGGGATGATTGGCTTTTGTTTAATTACGTTTTTAAATATTAGATTTAAACTTCACTTATCGCATGAAAAGCTTCTATTTAAAGAAGTTTACCTCTGATCCTATCAACTTCTCCTTGATGTTGTTATTTGAATCCATAATAATAACCTGAAGGTAAAAACAAAAAAAAGTTTTTAGAACATTTTATCGTAGATTGTTAATTAAAATCCAAAGAAATATTGGTGTCGGTTTATATATTACAGAGCAAAAACACACTAATCGCAGTCTCTTAACACACACAATTTTTCACAAAATGTACATTTATTTTATTTCAGTTTACTTTTGAGAATGATTACTGGTATTTATTTCATATTTTTAAAGATATCGATCTTTTGGATGAGATTTTGATAAAACTTCCTTTAAGCACTATTTGTATAATTCAGTCCCTTATCATTTTTATTACTACTTGTAATTTATCGAGGAAACATTCAACCAACAGCTAAAAAATTTAAATAAGGAAACAGAAATCAATCTCAAATAACAATAAGAAATACAGAGTATGAAATACACCCCTTTGAAAATTCAATAGGCGGGATGAGCTACAATGTACGCAAAAGGAGGAAACATCCCTTGCGACTACTCACTTCTACTTCTAACACTGTATTAAGTAGCAGACGGAACAATCCTTAAGTCACTGTATTAAGCAATAGTCATATACCCCCCGCCTCCCATATGAATATAATGGCAGTGTCCATGTTTTGCTCTGGAAAATCAAAAATATACGTCAGATCAAAAAGTCAAAGGTGCACAATGGCAAAAAAAAATGAAAGCATTAAATTTCCTTCAGTTTGTATAAAATGTACCCCAAAGCGTAACAGACCAAAATAAGACTATATACCCTCCCACTTTTCAAGCGGGGGGTATAAAAATGCTCATCAGTTTGTATAAAATATGCAAGCCAAAATAAGACCTCAAAAATGTATAGTTGTATGGTTGCTAAAAATGATAATTATAACGAAAGCATTTTTGAAATGCTGACTCTAAACAAGATTGATTATTGTTATACCCCCCGCTTGAAAAGTGGGAAGGTATATAAATTCATTGTACGTCCGTATATAAACCTATGAGTGAAATTTAAAGAAACTTTCACAGAAAATTTATTACATATTGCCATTGTGCACCTCCTATTTTACTTTTTTATTCGACACGTATTTTAGGTTTCCCATAGCAAAACATGGACATTGCCATTATAACCTATGACGTCACATATAAAGCTTCTGGATAACATTTGATAGGACAGTTAACACATTACCGTAAAACAATATTTAGCAACACATGGACACTATGGGAGGTGGGAGGTATCATTTAGTGAGCTCATTGCTCACAGTACCTCTAGTTTTTTTTAACACCGAGTCGGCAATATTTCAGCCATATTTAGGCGGACTCTAATCAAGATTGTATAAATACCTGTTATATAAACCTATAATTTCTACTTATGACCGATTTCTAAAACGAGGTAAATTATTTACAAACAAGTTAAAATAAAATCATTTCGTAACTTCTATGGTAGATAAAATGACCTTGTCAGCAAATACAATTTATTATTTTGTCAAATGCTGACTGACGTTTTTCATACTAAATGTTAGTCCATTATATACACATTAAATCGACGACAGTTTTTTTCGCGTTCATGACAAAGAGCACACGGCGGGTGTGATCGGTGGGCAGGGGATGCTCACCCCTCCATAACACCTGATCCCACCTCTGACGTTTTGTAGGTCTATGTTTCTTCTGCTTCTATTTTGTATTCTTTTATGGACTTTTAATCTTGAATAATGTTCGTTATCTCCATGTTTCATTCACTAACCTGTTTCGGTTTTATAAATTAAAAACAAGAACATAAAAATATCTTAGGAAATTTTTTTAAAAAACTGGAGAGTTCTTTATCCGTTGGATTTAATTTTTTTACATTCTGCAGTTGAACTTGAATATATTATTTTATCAGTATTTTATACAGCATTTAATTTTCTGTAATTTTTACCTTGCCTGAGCCGCCATCCCTGGGACCGCCAATAGCAATATAAGGTTTTTGGTCACTATAAAACTTTCCAACACTTACAGCGTAACCTGAAAAGACATGAAAAAGCTGACAACACGGGGATTAAAAGTGATTTAATTTATATTGAATTCGATATATTTCCATTTCTATTTGTTATCTCGGTAAGGAGCCAAAAAGACATACTGTAAATGTATTATACTCAGCGTGTACGATATTTGGCGGAAATTGATTTCTGAACAAGTTAGCGTTTCATGTTATTTAAATCTGTTAAATAACATTTTTTTATAAATCTGAATTTAAAATCATTCTACAATGAATTTGAATTATCAAGTATCACTGTTTGTTGGTTATGCCAGTAACACCAACGATAGTTGTAAACGTGAAATAATTTATGCATAATGCAATTTACGTTTACAGTAATATACATGTTGACCTCTGATGGCCTTTCTTTGTGTCTGCTTGGGTTATATGGGTAGAATTTTGAGAATTAAAACTAAAGGGAGCTCACTAAATGTTATTTAAATCACATGATTATAACAAATCCATTTTTTTTAAAATCTGAATTTAGAATTATTTTACATTGAAACGGGGATGTATAAAGAATCTACCATATAACTGTCCCTCTTTAGTCTCTGTGGTGTTTTCACTCTTCAGTGTGTAGGAAGATCCTGACACATGAACTGCTCCTCCTGAAAAGAAAATTTAACATGCTTTAGTAATATCTTCAAGATAAATTAAATTGCATAATGATGATTTCTTTTAATGTACCTTTGTCGAAGTACGTATGAAGATTGCATATACAGGAATGGAAATACATGTATGAGAATTCATTATCTTCGTTTTTGTAGTCATAATTTTCAGTATTCATGAATAAGTGCACAAAACAAGGATAAAAGAAATGTTATATGATATATTTCCTCAACAATGTTAATTTAATTACATATACATGAGAATCAAATAAAAATCCTAATTTTTTTTTCTTAAGTACGGGTCTCTGTAAAAATCAGGCAATATGTAAATCATGGGGGTTCTCAGAATTTGATGATTTTTACACACATAGGTTTCTCTTGCACTATGAACCAGGTATGTAAACTGAAAATTATTTTGGGTCCTGGTTACTATGGAAACATGGCGAAAGAAATTTTCCATAGCAACCAGTCAATTTTCCATGCGGATGGACAAATATATCACTAAACTTAGAGGCTTGAAATTGAATGTGAATATTACCAGAGGGGTTCTTAAATAATGTTATCATAAAGATGAACATTTCAAGTGATAAAACATGTTATACATAAATTTTTAATTTTAAGATATTTCTCTCACGGGCAATGGAAAATATGCATGTTTTACATATTTTGCTGATTCAGCATTTTTGTTTTTCGTAAGGAAAATTGACTGGTTGCTAAGGAAAATTTCTTTGGTCATGTTTCCATGACTAGGACACAAATTAATTTTCATTTTACATATTACGTAGTTCATAGTGCAACAAAACTATATGATGAAAAATCTATATGATATATTTCCTATACAATGTTAATATGATTACATACACATGAGAAGATTTTTGTTTACGTTTATACATTCATGCCCTACTGGAATAACAGGGTAATCTTCATATAGTTATCGATCTGTCCATTTTGTCTGTTTGTCTGTTGCTTGCCCGTCGTTTATTTAATTTTGGGGATAAAATATGATACTTGGAAGCTAGAGTTTAATATACCTGAGGTAACCTTGTGTTTTCGATCAAAACTTATTCTGGTGGATTTTGCTTTACTTTGTGAGATGTTGATTTTTTTTACCCCATTTGCTGTTTATCCTTAACCTAAAGGATACCAAAGGAATTGTAAGCACTGATCTCACTTAATGATATACCAACCTTCCATATGATTATAATGAAAATGTCCAAGTTTTGCTTTCGGGGACCCAAAATCTGTTTCATATCAATAATAAAATAAGAGGTGCACAATGACATTATGTAATAAAGAATCTGTGAAAGTATTAATAAATCTTATTGAGCGGGTTGCAGATAAGAGATGGGTACCTTTCAATATTATGGAAAGAATGGAAGTGTCTATATACCAAAAATATGTCAAAAAGTGTAATATGAGGTGCACAATAACACTATATGACAAAAATTCTGTCACAGTCTGGTTTATATACATTCAGTGGTACAAGAGGAGTTGCGGATAAGGAATGGGTACCCCACAGCGTATCAGACGGACGGACAGACATCCCGATCACTATATACCCTCCCACATTTCAAGCGGGGTGTATGATAATAAAACATCTTCGTTTTTCAACACTACAGAAGAAATAAAGAAATTTGTGTAAACTTTGTTTTTGATGTTCTGGAATATGTAACAAATTAACTTTCAAATAGTAATACATGTATATAGCAATATAACAGGAAGCTTAACATACATACTCAATACACGTATAATAATTTAAATGCAAATAACAGATACAAGATTGTACGATTGTTTACTTGGATCAGCAATAAATGGATTTATAATATAATAATATTATAAATAATGGAAATGCCTCATGCCAATAGACATTACCTCAACGACATATCTCAGGGAAATTGAACTGTAATAAATCATACATACATGTATGTATATATATATATTGTGTGTACAATTTACTTTGTTTATGCATATTTTGAATTAGTTCCTTGATAAATAAATCTGACCGATGCAGCCAAGGTTTGTGTGCTTATTGGTTCATTTTAAAATACTTCATAAGTAAATACAGACGTGATATTTATGTGATAATTTTTTTTATTTTAAAATCATTTAAAATTTGTTTGTGAATATAATGTGAAAAAGTTTATATTGATATTTATTTTTTTTAACTTTCATGTGAAGTTTTCTGTGCACTATATACATATGCTACATGTATATCCTCTTTATGTAAAATTGAAATGAAAGGAGTGTCTCAATCAAATGAAGTTTTCTCATAAATTTCAAGTCTTACTTTTTATGTGACCCACATTTGCCTATGTTCATGTAAAATTGAACAGGAAAGGATATATAAAAGCAAACCTCTATATATGTGATATATATAAAGAAAACCTCGATATATATAAAGGAAATGCGATATATATAAGGAAAACCTCTATATATATATAAAGGAAATGCGATATATATATAAACAAAACTTCGATATACATAAAGGAAATGCGATATATATAAACAATACTTCGATATATATAAAGAGAAAAATTTCCATCGCCTGACCTTTAACATGTTTAATGACCTTCATTACAACGGAGACTTCGCCAACATAATGATAAGCAGCTCCCGGTGCAATGTTTTGATTGCAATCAGTTGATGTGGCTGTTTCAATATGGTATTCAGCAAAAAGAATTTTGAAATTGATAAAAAAAGCTAAAAAATACATTTCAGACGTGTTGGGCAGAATGATAGATGCAAAATGTATATACATAGCACAAATCAAATCGATTTTATTTAAACCGAAGTTTAATTATGTAACATTGAATTTATTCTACTTGATTTTTTTTCACACCAAAAGATCCTAAAATTTTGTAATAGTACATGTATATGTCGCTTTCTTTCCTCATATAAAAATGAAGTGGGTACCTCCATCTCTTATATAATCAATGGGCATACTAGTAAATTATTTTATAATGAATTTAAATAAATTTGAATTAGGGCATTAAAAATCTGTTAAGACTCTACGTTTAACATTATTTTTTATAAATTCTCGGTTGTGAAACCAAAGGTCGTAAGTTTGGTAAAAAAAAAAAGCTGGGTTGTAAAAATTAACGAAGTTGATCAAAATACATGTAAATCGAACATGTCCAATAAAAACACAGAAAATAAAATATGTTACATTAAAGGTAAAACAAATATAACTATTTTTGTTTAAATTTTTACTTTAAATGTAACACATATACTGAGTATACATTTCATGAATGTATTCAATTAATCAATTCAGTTGCTCTTCCATTTGAAAACAATTACTGTTCATTGATATATGCATGTACAAAAATAAACACTATTAAATAGCAACATTGCACTGGGAAAGTTGTAAAGATTTCTATAAGATTTCCCCGCCAGGAGTTAATCTGTATATAATCTTGATGGACAGCCGAGCGCTACAAACACACAATGAAACTTTTCTCTTTATATATATCACATTCTTTATATATAGAGGTTTTGTTTATATATTTCGCATTTCCTTTATATATATCCAGGTTGTGTTTATATATATTACATTTCCTTTATATATATCCAGGTTTCGTTTATATATATAGCATTTCCTTTATATATATCCAAGTTTTGTTTATATATATCGCATTTTCTTTATATATATCCAGGTTTTGTTTATATATATTAATTTATATATCGAGGTTTGCTTTTATATATTAACATGGCAACAATGGGCTTCCGTAGAAAAGGATTGAAATTGAAAATAAAATTCTACCAAAATAATGCATTAAAACCTATTTTAACCTTAAACATTGAATTGATAGTAAAAAGTCTTTTCATTCGCTTTGTTATCCTTATGATAAAAAGAGGCGAGGACAAAGATAAATACATATATTTTGACAGTGTTTATTACAAACCTGAAAATTCATTCAAACCCGGTGAACCAATCCAAATCTGCAATAAAATTGAAGTAACAAATATAATACTTGTATTCATATGTTTGTTTAACTGTTATAGATGTAATTTAAAGAAGGATTCCATCAATAAAACATACAATGACGGACATATAAATTATACAATAATAGTCAAAAAAAAAAATTCATACAGATATTAAAAAAAAATTTTCAGTTTGATGAAATCAACTCGTCAGCTATTGATAATATATTAAAAAGGTTTGTATACATGCAACATTAATTGCCTTACTAACCACCATGAAAGTTTTCATGAAAGTTTTCACAGAGTAGCTGTTATAGATGCTTACGTAAGGATTCTTTAAAATTTGGCTCAATAAAAAAAAATTTAAAATTGCTCTAAAATAAGACATGTTCTTACAATTAACATCTTTCTTGGGTTGGGGTGTTTCTGGTACTTAAAAATGTCTTACATCACCATCCTTCCTCATGTATTTAATGGAAAGTCCAGAGGCAGATACTCCATATTTGATGGTCTGGTTGAACATAGTCCCTTCAGCTTCTGTAAATTGATCCGAAGGCTTAGAGTTATACAGTCCAATCAATATGCTGGGATTAAGAAGACCAGAGGGGTCCCCTTGTAAGTATCCAAGTGGCACTTCATAACACAATCCATTCATTGCAGTAACATTGCCATCTGGACCACTTCGCCTCCACCGTGGACCACAAAACTAGAAATTTATTATTATTAAAAAAAAAAAACGGTCTCTAGGAGATCATTTTAAGACAACTGTTTTTATATGTAACAAGATTGATTTTCTATTCTTTACTAAGAGTTAAGAGTTTACACTCATATATACAGAGACGTCCCCATATTCATTTACCATTTAAGGACTTGACATTTAGATATCTACTCGGTACGCAGGTTCAATGCCTATCGTGTGCCGATACCTCAAGTTTTAAAGTGAAATATGAAGAACTTCTGAAGTCTTGTTACTTACTAGCTCTACAATTCAAATTTTTATCCCAAGGTGCTTGTTTTTATGCTCTCATTAATTCAGAATTATCTCGGGATTTTTTGTGACAATTTTATGTTTAAGTATTTCGAGAAATTTGAAAAGAAAAAAAATTGCCACAATAGAATCCAAAAAGATTGCCCATATGTTTCATTGTTGAAAACATTTTGCACAACCAACATTTTTTCATGCTTGCATTGAACGTTGATTAGATTTACCGTGACTTGAACTCCTGCATCTACTGAAGCCCCCAGCCACATCTCTGAGCGCTCTTCTGTAAATCCATCTTCTAATGATACACCTGTTAATAAAGAAAAAAAATTATATTTTAAGATGATATTGTGTGTAGAGGTGTATATATTAATTTGTTAGGGTGAGTATCGTGTGTAAGGGTGTGTGTGCATCCAAGATTGCCACTGTTGTCATCGTAATGTTTCAAATATGTTTTAAATTTTGATTTGTTTGATTGATTGTATTTTGTTTTGCACCTCTTTGAGAATTTTAAATTTAATCACCATGTACCGTAAACGGGGGCTTTAGTCCTTTATTCTGCATTAAAACTATTGATCAGTGAGATATTTTTATCGTGTTAGAGGTGCCGTGACATCAGACTTCTGTTTTAAAGTTTCTTTACAAAGTATGATCGCTTAGGGAAGGATTAGTTGCTACCCATTTTTATCGAACTAGGTCAGACGCAGCCTGGGATAAACCTCCTAGATGCCTTTAAATCTAATGATAAACTTTATACATCAGTATTACAGCAATTTATTATAACTTTTGTGTACAGTGACTTAATGTACTTGGAAAGAAAAAGTATTTGAAATACAATTCCCTAGGAGAAGAAACGTGTATATGTTAAGTATCGAAGCTTTCAAATTTGAATCAATATTAGGTAATGTTGCAATATATTTTGCAATGTATACTACACACAGTTGATAAGTAAACAACAAGTATAAACACATTCAAACAAAGGTAAAGGAAATAGATATTTTCATTTTCATATATGATTTTATTTAAATGTACTTTTAAAATAACCTGTTTTAACACGTCGCATTTGCTGTGTAAATATCGATAAACCATATAATTAAAGGAATTTAACTTCTGTGTTTGCTTTAAATGGTCTCTTGTCCAGAATACGGACGTTTTTAAACTTTTCTTCACTGAAAATATTTTGTTAAATCGCAAAACTGTATAAGTAATGATAATTACCTGGAAGTTGTCCACTAGAAAGTTGTCTGCAGTCTGCCAAACTCACAAAGTTTGGTGTACAGTAGTACAAAGTTCCGGTCGTCAAATTTTTGGCTATATCTATTGACTTTGGTGCTCCTACCAAAAGCCTATTTTTGAATTAAAAAAGTGCAACTCACTATAAAATTCCCTTATTATATCTACAATGTATATTTATTTAAGTTTTTTTTAATCGTAAGATTTGTGAATTACATCCCTTTTTGTATGCATATGTATCATAAAATGCTAACGTTTTAATGAAATATTTTCATTTGCAATCTGGTGAATTGTAATCGCAAGGGATGTTGTCGTATTTTAACTATCAGTTTTTAAACAAAGAACAAAGCAGTTTGCTCTACTATGGGGAGGTCTGCTATGAGATATTCATGCTCATACATGCTAGTTAATGAGAAAATTACCAGTTTTTTATTAATTCATATAGATTTCTAAAAAAAGAGAAAAAAACACACATTCAAAAAGCAATTAAGCTGTATGACAGATCAAATATTTCCAGTGCACAGTCTCATTGATAATTGAAAATACATATAACATGAAGAATATGTTCTAAAAACAAAACATAACAGATTGGTGGATATAATTGTTGGAGCAGTTTATACTATACTGTAACAAAATTTTAATGTACATGTAATCTTCATGCCCAGTAATATTCTTTTGAACTTCGTATAAATCTTCGATAATATTTCCTCCAGCGTAGTTATCATATAATTACTTACCATACATTATTGTCTTTGGTGGCGAAATCTAGGGAATATCCAAACATTGAACCCGGTTCACCGGACAAAATTTTGGCCCCCTTGATACCGACATTAAATCCAGAAGTCGAAGGTAGGATAAGAAAAAGAAGGATTGCCACTTCATTCACCATTATCCTTAAAAATATCTGCAGTAATTTTTTTATTGACTAACAAAACCTGTTTATTAAATACATAGTCAAACCGAAAGTAGATCATTAAGGTATTGATTTAAAAAAAAAGACCTTACCTGTCCCGTAAAACTTGACTACTTCGATGAATATTGTTTCTACGATATTTTGTAGATTCACGAGGAGTATAGTAACAAACTACGCTTTAAAAATATAGCGTACTTTTTTATTTCTATTTAAAGCCACGATATCATACATATTACAGATTTATCTGTTTGGGTTTTATTTAAACACATTCCATGCCCACAAAACACCTAGAACTTTTGTTAGTTTTACCTGGATGGTTTTGTAACCATGCATTTGGAACTAAATCGATTGCTCTAGGCTACTGTTTACTTCCTCTTTACATTAAATATGAATTTCAATGAAAGGATGTAATATATAATTTCAATAATCTACGATAACCTATTTAACATGTTTAAGAAAGATCTCGATACATTATTGCTATACAGCAGTTCGAACAAAGAAGTCTATGATATCTAAAAAAAAAAAAAAAAAAAAAAAAAAAAAAAAAAAAAAAAAAGATTTAATATACCTTACTTGTGATAGATAGGATATATTTATATGTAATGCAATTGATAATTATAAAATACCGATAGCAAATTGAAAAAAAAAGACTTAGATAGCGAACGTAATTTTACTGTCTCTGTTTAAATGCACTGATTGTTTTTGATCGTCGCTTGAAAAAAAATTACGTGGTAATATGGTTCTGTAGACGTAATGTGTTCATGAATAGCTTTTCCTTTTAAGCTTATCGTATTTTTAATAATAATTGAAAAGAATTTCTATATATTTATGATAGTTCACTTTACCTTTAGCCGAATTTTAAATGAACAACGTCTTTTTTCTTGTTATATCATTGGCTTTTTAAAGTATTGAAAGCTCATTTTCTTTTGACATATATGATTTACTTTACCGCAAATTATTAACATACGAAAATTTTAAGCATAGAATATGAAGTTTACGAACTGAAGTGTAGCATAGTGGACCGTTGAAACAATCTAAATAATGACCCGATCAAGCACATTGAACTTTTAAATATATCACAAGGGAGATCAGATATCAAAGAAGAGATATGAGCAGATGCCATACAGTAGCAAACATCCCCTGTCGACCGTTTTATTCACAATAATTCGATAAGCGGAAAATTCTGAATATTTAAAAATTGAAGATAATCAATGACAAGGAATGTTAATTAAATACACATAAATCACTTTTACTCATTCTTCCATTCTTGATTAATCCTCATTTTAAAAGGAAAACGAAAACGAAAGTAAAAAAAAACCGTCTGGAAATACTTAAGTTCGTAATCCCATTATTCATATAAAGAACATAACTTATGATTTAAGAGCTTCCTCTTCTCTTTTTTATTATACCCCTCGCTCGAAAAGCGGGAGGATATATAGTATCCGGTGTAAAGACGAATAATGACCCCCATCGAATAATGACCGGGGGTCATTTTTCAACGACAAAAAATGACCCCATACCCGTAGAAAAAAATCATTTTTTGTAGAAGAAGTGTCCTAGGGGTCATTATTTTATATGTTAGTCCTATAAAAAATTGACCCCCATTGAAAAATGACCCCCTTTATAGTGAAAAGAGGTTCTTTAATTGTCAAGTAAATAAACTTTCTTTTTGATATTCCTCCTTATAGTGTTTGCTTAAAGAATGATATTCCACTTGTTTTTAGAAATCAAACCATGCAACAATCAGGTTCCAATACTCTTTAATAGAAAAATTAATTTTTCCTTCATTTCAACTTTTAGCTTGTATAAATTTGGCATATCCTATTTGACAATGAAAGAGGAGGAAATTTTTAACCCCCCCCCCCCAAATAACTTTAAATAAAAAAAAAAAATGAAAAGCAAAAATATCAATAAAACTCTATACCTTTTAATAATACTGAAAGAGGCTCTAGATAAAATACTGAAATGAAGTTAAGCCTTCACACAAGTTCTATCATATCATAATTTACTTCGCCATGATTAAAGAATACTTTAAATGTTGGTGGGGGTATACTTGAAAGTATTGTGGCAAAGTAACAGTTGAAAATTAGTAGAATAAGAGATTATTTTAAGCTTATTTTAAGTCCCTCCTTATAGAAAAATAAAGGTAGGGTAGTTTTTTTGTTGCTTTTGTTGATAATCGACTTCCTCCTAGGGGTGGGGCGGGTATAACACCTAAAAATATGCTCTGTAAAGCTATGGACTAGTACAAAATACACATTCTAATGCAAAAACTATACATGTAGACATAACCTTTTGATTTAGCACACAGTATTCATTACATTTCTTAATTCTTGTTTTACTCCACCCTTTTACCCATTTCTGAGTATATTTTTCAGAGAATATGAAAATCAGAACAAACATTTTCATTTTTGTACCGTCTTCTTTATACTGTATCATAATATGAAAAGTTAATTGAAGACCATTTCTTTTTATGTCCCTGTAATCTAAGATTCGGGGGTATATAGTTTTATCGTGTCCGTCTGTATATCTGTCTGTCTATCTGGCGGTCTGTTTGTCCGAAAAAACTTTAACCTTGACCATAACTTTTCATTTATTGTAGCTATGTCTTTCATATTCAATATGTGTATATTCCTTGTGACAAGACCTTACTTTGGGTACCTCCAAATTTGACCTTTTGACCTTTACCTTGGGGTTTGTCCCATTTTACACAAAAATGCCAAATTTTTAATTTACTTTGGCTATAACTTTTAAACGGTAGATACTAGTACTCTCATACTTCACAAATGTAATCCTTGTGACATTAAATCAACTCTGACCCTTTGACCTCTGAGTTTGACCTACCTTTCAAACACTTATCCTTAGCCGTTGATTTTGAACAAGTGGCGCAAGGGCTTTCCTATTTTGCAATTGTATTTCTTGTGAGAAGAACCCTACTTTGGGTACCATTATATTTAAATTACAATTAAGAAAAGTTTAATCTTCGCTTTGTTGCCATACAGGGGCAAAGCTGTTTCATAAACATATCTTTTTATATAAGAGGAGTTGCAGATAACAGATGGATACCCAAAGCGTAACAGACGGAGGGACGGACATCCCGATCACTACATACCCTCCCGCTCTTCAAGCGGAGGATATAATAATATATGATACTGCTGATTTTTTTTTTCTGTCAATACGATGATTTCAACCATTGTTATCTTTACTACTTTAGATTCTGAATCATCGCCTTGGCCTTAAAATATAACTATAATCGTATGTTATGTGATCAACATATCATCAATTTATTCCAAATAAGCTCAGGTGAGCAATTTGGCCAACATGCTTTTTTATCTAATTTTTTTTTGCCCCCTAAAAATTTCAGCTTAAATCCACAGGGAGTCATTTTTCTACGGGGGTCATTTTTCTTTTTCATTTTTCATTGGTTCTGCAAATTTTTAGGGTGGTGACACTTTTTCTACGGGCAAAAGGGTCATTTTTCTACGTCGAATATTGACCGGGGGTCATTTTTCGCTGTCGAAAAATGACCCCCGGTCATTATTCGATGGGGGTCATTATTCGTCTTTACACCGGTATGTCGGTCCGTCCGTTACGGTTTAGGGTACCCACCTCTTATCCGCAACTCCTCTCATACCACTGAATGAAATTTAATGAAACTTTCACAGAATCTTTATTACATACTGCCATTGTGTATCTCCTATTTTACTTTTTGATCCGATACATATTTTTGGTTTACCTCAGCAAAACATTGACACTGCCATTTATCATATTCATTAGGAGGTGGGGGGTATCATTTAGTGAGCTCATTGCTCACAGTACCTCTAGTTTAATTTAGACTATTTTACTGTTGATTGTTTTTTTTTATTTTTATTAAAACGTTTAAAAAAAATTATTTATTATCTGAATATTTATTTTTTCTTTCTTTAAACAGTGTCTTTTTGAAATGCATGCACTAAACATGAAATAAAGACAGAAAAAATTTATTATTTGGTGTCATAATTTTCATAAACGAAAACAAGAGGCATATGTATAGAATAAGAATTTGACATTTTATACAAGTTTGGTGCCTGAGAAAATTTAATGATTACAATTGTTTCACTTTAAGACAATGATGTTTCTAGTACCATAGGAATGCAGTAGGAAACAGGACACTTAATCAAATGTGTTTAGTTTATAAATTATATAACAACATTTTATAGAATGTGACGTTTAAGACAGATTCTCTGTAAGACCATTATTCCGTTCCTTTTCTACACATCCATTGGATCACGTTTATCAAACTGGTCCTGAACACTACCCGCCATCGGGGCATGATTGTCATCCTCATTAACTTTCGTTTTTTGAGCATCAGAGGTACCCTCTCCAATATTAGCCATTTTTTCAAACGCCGCATCCTCACCATTAGTTGTATTCTGAACATTTAGAATGTTCTCATCAGTTCTCATTAGTTTGATATCAGAGTCGAAATTTTCAGAGAAGAGTAATCCTTTTTCATTATTAATTTCCGGCATGCTGTAAAGAAATATAAGGACATTTTAAGCATCCGCTGCTTTAAAACTGCCATGTTTTAAAAATTCATTATATACATTTACAGTGCATTTACAATTTGATTGTATCCCTTTACAAAATTGGTTTATTTATCATATTGTGTCTGCTAAAATTATATGTCATTGTTAATAATAATAACAAATTATTGAACGTCACTAAGTGGCAACATACGACAAACTGTTTTACAAACTTTTGATTCATTGAAGGAGGATAAGATAAGATGTTCTAGTGTTTAAGGATTATGGACAGAAGTGAGCAATTTGATGGTTATTTGAGCTGTCAAAATATTTTTGTATTAATACAAATATCTTTATTTACAATTTGCGTCTGACTCGTTCATTTGGTGAAATATGATTATGATAATAAGCATTTCTAAGATATATTCTAACGAAAAAAGTCTACAGGGTCCTGTATAGCTAGGTTATTATTCTTGATAAAAACGGAGAAGTTTGGGTTTTTCTTATTAAGAGTTATCATATTTAAATAGGATCCATAATAGCAGTCCTAGACATAAACTTTTCATTTTAAAATGCGATATTATAAAAATATTTCAACAAAATACGACAACGGAGACATACAAATAAAAAATAATCTGACCTTGTTTCTAATTTGTTTTTTTCTTTAGTCGATGATGGTACCATGTCTGTCACATCAATAAAATATATTGGCATCTTGTTTTTTTTTTCAAATAAATAAGTCGAGACATTTAAAGTATTCACTAATTCCACAGAATCTAAATCTTAATACTTAAGCCAAAAACCAACAAACAATTTCATATACATGTACTTTTTACCTTTATTCTCGAGAGATCCCAGCTTGTCTTCTTCTATTTCAAAGTTGTTTCTTTTTTTATTGGTGTTTAAAAATGTTGACAACAAAGGTTTTTCTTCGATTTCGTTCTCCATTCCTTCCAGATTACATGCATCATCTATAACATTATTTTCATTTGTTTTTCTCTGGCATGCTCTCAGATACTCGAGTTGTTTTCTATATCTGTTTTCAAAACATCCTTTCTGCAAAATGATCATGTGATAATTTTTATAATTTTCAAAAGTTAATTTAGACATTTGTTTCACCCTTTGATAAGTCCTGTCAATAATCATTTTTTTTTCTTTTTACATTTTATTTTCGTAATTTGTAAAACGTTTAATTCTTTTTGAAGCTTTATATATATTGATTACCTGGAAATATATGAATTAAAAATATATTTTCTTTCTTATTTGATATTAAGTTGGTAAATACATTCGTATCAAAATTATCCACAATCAACCTTCTTTAGTACTAGGACAACAACCACGAGAATTCCCAATGAACTAACAATGGATAGGATAATGGCCAACACAGGAACTTCCTTCTTCATCGGTGTACTGGGAAGAAATTTCGTTACAACTTTCACCTACAATTGAACTCTAGAGCATTTTCCTTCCGTCAAATTTTCAACTATTTAATTTTCAACACTGTCGTTAATGTTTTGATCATAAGATATAGCTCTATTCATCATACATCTATATTACATGTAATATATGTGAACACATAAACTTAATCTAAAAACTTTAGAAAAAAGGGATGTTTACCGCTATATAGCATCTGGTCCCACATTTGCTATTATCATTAGTTGTTCTGCTCTGACTTCGTTTTCTTTCAATGGATTTTTGATCTTTATAACTGTTCCTTATATTTATGTATCATTAACATTTAGACAAGACATAATGCAAATTCAGGAATGTTCATGAAAACCGATTTTTTTTGCAAAAATAATAATGGTTTGTTGTTCGTAAATACAATCTAGAGTTGAGTCGTATTTTCCTACCATTTGGTATCATTTGTTTGGTCATTGTTTCATGCTTAATTTCACAACAGAGTAGGCTGTATGCCTGTTCAATACACAAGGCTCATGGTGGGTTAACAGGTCAAAAAGAGATGTTTACTGATTCTTCCCACGTGATCCCATTTCTATTGATTCCTGGAGTTCATGTTTTTTCTCCATACTGAATTTTTTAGATTGATTATTCGTTACCTTCATAATATTAAATGTATATGAGAGGGTTGTTCTAAAATATGTTGTTACACAAATGCTACATTTATCTCTTCAAAACTTTTTCTTTAAAAAGTAACTCAGACATACCATTCCGTTTCCTTGACCTTTTAAGTCTACCCCTGGGTTCTCCGTGTCCGGAATAAATGTTGTTGCTATTGGGACAAATGGTTTATTGTCACTTGCCTGAGCCTTTAGAAATAATAAAACACAATTTTTCATCGATGCTGACCGAGGAAAGTTTTTCAACTGCAAATGTACTTTTGGCAATAAAACAAAATCAATTCGCTTTAATTATTAAAGAGATCTTATTTCAATTTTTTTAACTCATTAATTGTTGTACTTTATAATAAGCTTACAATAAAAATTATCTCTTTCTTGTTAGTATTGGAATTGATTTTGCAAGACACGTTGAATGCATAATATTCAGCAAAAGTGATTTATTCTTTTTTCTGTATACGAATGCAGCATTATTTCTTATATTAAAATCAAAGAAAGACATTTAGAGTTATATGTACGTCTGTAATTATAGTAATATCACAAAGATCAACATGATCAAGCAGGTAAATGTGTTTTTGAAATATTCGTCCTTGTACGTTTCATCGAGCTGAAGAATTTTGTGCAAGTGACTTGTAAAGCAGTGTTTAAATATTGAAAAACAACTTTGTTTTCAAGAGAAATGAAAGAGATAATATTTCATTATGTCAAATATATTAAGAGCAATTTCACAGAATGGTCTTAACGTACTCACATTGATGATTTCATACAGATTCTGCTCAACATCGTAGGAAATGGTCACCGATATAAAACTATCATACATAAAGGTTCCAATATCACACTTGACTCTACTACATTCTTCGTTCTTTTCACAATCCTAATACAAAAACAGTAAAACAATTTTTTTTCTAGAATTTCCTCAATATATTCCCGACATACATGTAATTACCTTCATAAGGTGAAAGAAATTGATAAAAACAAAATGTGAAGAGAATACACAGTAAAACACGCTTACACAAAAGCAAAAAGGGATAAATACGTATTTTTTAGTGCAAAACTTTGTTTAAAACTACATGACTTATTTCTGAGTATATTATTTATTATTATATCATATCCGATGTCATCGTATTTTATTGTATATTCGATATTTTCTTACAAAATTGCCAGCAGGCTCTGAGTTCTTCGTTTTGTTTATGGGAATAGTGAAAGCTCTGTAGGTCAGATTTGTGTCGCCCTCTGGTTCCAGAAGAACATTCTGGCATCGTATCAAAGTATCGTTATTGGCTAAGGAAACATTCAAAAGCTAAGAGAAAAAAAAATAAAATGCATTTAAATATTTGCCTGTTAAAAATGTATTTAGGCTGGAGAAGAAGATTTTTAAAGCCATTAGATTTTTAACAAATTTCTGAGCTTAAAATGCAGCGCTAACTTCCAATCAGCTGTTAAGTGTACATGTATAAATGTATTCGAAGTGCATTAAAAACAATGTTTCTACATGCACAAACAAGTATATTAATTATTAGTCATAATTTTGCCAATTAAGGACATAGAGGCAATGCTTATCACAGTTACATGCACTGCTGAATTAAGTTTACAAAGTAATACGATCTTCATAATTATTATTTTGTTTTTCTATGGTGGCATATTCTTAAAGCTTATTAATACCATCTTTGTCGAAATGTCATAAAGATTTTAATCTCGGTAATTTGTATTCGACAACTTACAATTTTCGACGGTCTAACTAGTGTGGACTGAGGATATTCAATGTTAAAGGTCAATACGTCCATCAGGTGGCTAGGCCCGGTATTCACGATCTGTATACTGTGAATTACTTCTACAGAAGGACTTTCTGGGGTTATTTTCGTAATATAAACTTCAGGGACGGGTGATCTAAAATAAACATCTGAATATTAACTTGGTAAAATATACGAGTCACTTAAGTTTCAAAATTTTACTGTGTAAACTGTACAAGTGTAGATAGAACGTAATTTGTGTAATATGTAATTAACAAAAATAGTATGTAACAAGTCTAGACCACCCTGTCATCAATTATACAACATCTTTCTTGTGAGGTATTTTATGTAAGCTAGTCCTGTTTTGTATTTTGATAGCATGTTTGGGTTTTAAAAGTTTTGTTTGTCGAGGGGGTCGTTTGAACTTGTTTGCGTAAACAAATCAATTTACAAGCAAACCCTACTTGACTAAATATCCATTCCATACAAAAATGCTTTGTGAATTATATTTGAAAAATATATATTCCATTTGCATGCGTATATGCATTTGTATCTTCATGTGAATGTGTTATATGGGACAGCTTGTACTGTGAGATTAAAAGAAAGGAACTGCACTTAACTGGAAGTTGCATTCATAGTGCGATTAACGCGATAATTCAGTGCAGGTACATAGTAAAAATCAGAGAAGATGAAAATATGAAAATGTATACTTACAGGTTATAAGTGACTGCCACCACTGTCAGTACTTTGATTATTTTATTATACAGCTTACTTTCCATACTGTTATCATTCCTTCTTGATTTCACCTCAACCTTCATCTCAAATTCGTTGATCACAGGCAACAGACTTCTACTATCAAGTGTTATTCTGAAACTGAACATTTCGTCTTTCTTCAATTGTTCTTTTTCCAGAATACACTGCAATGAGCCAACAGCAGGAGAACATGTCACAGGGAACTCCTGACTGGTGTTTCCTGTGTCGGCTAATGTCAGATTAGAATGATATGTAATACTGATCACTGTCTCATAAGATGATTCTCCTTCGTTGTTGATGGCGATGTCTGCTGTGTATTCTGCTTGTGGTCCTGTTACAATGCTATCCAATGACGTGACTGAAATCTGAATATCTGGTTGACAAACGTTATCTTCTCCACATCCAGTCCTTTCCAATTCATACTGAAAACAAGATATTTGTTTCAACATATTGTCTTTTCAGATGTAACATTAAATTGCCCGGAGTAAAGAAAATGACTTTGGTATAATCAGATTCTTGAGGATTGACCCTTTACGAAGCATTACAAGATCGTAAAAACTATTCTGTAAATCATTTCTTTTACGCAAAATTTTCCTGGGTTTAAATCATGAATTGACTTTTCGCCTTCCAATTTCTCCCTTCATTCAAACCCTTTTGACACCCCACTCCTTTCTTTATATATAAGCACACAGTACTGAATTTCAATTCATCAGGATGTTTCCAAAAGAATTTTTTAGTGCCTAATCTTGAAAATATAATTTGAAACACCTGATATCAGTTTTCATGCATTATACAAAATACACATACATATATAAGAACGTTCGTTTTGAAGCACATGCAATTTCAGAGCAGTTGATCACTTACCGAGTATTTTCGAGTCTTTGCAAGTGGGTCGTCGTTATTTGGATCAAACTTGTTGACGACTGGACAGCTAACAGTACACTGTGTATTACCAGTAGTGGAAACATTGAACTCTACCTCAAACTCTACCGGAACAAACAAACCCCTCATGTTTGTCTATGTAAGAAAGTAAAGATTAGAATTATAAATGATTTACGTAAATAATGTTATTACTGCTTTAGAAATCAACATTACATGTAGGGCCATCTTTAAAATAAAATGTTTGTTTGCCCTCATCTGACCGACTGACTAAAGTGGAGCGACTCAAATCTTTATTAACCTCAAGGAAGCGATTTTAACTGTAGGCATGTCAACGAATATTCGAATATTCATTCGATGAGTTCATATAATATAAGTATAGGATTCAAATATTCGGTTTGTACATATATTTAAGTATACAGACATTAAATAGAGAGAAAAATCTGGCAAGTTTTATTTGAAATTGAATCAAGTTCGTAGCGTTGACTGGAAATAAGATTTGATTTTTTTTAATTAAAAGACCATCATGATGGATTACTCCAAAACTGTGAAGAGTGGAACTATTAGAATAAATTATTCTTTGATCATTTAACTAGTGGTATAACAGTGCCAGTTAGTGCTTACAATCAGTTTGTATTGTTGTAAGGACACTGTTTTACAGAAAACACGTGGATTCCTTGTTTATGTGTATATCGTTAAAAATAATTATCAGGAAATTAATTAGATAAAAATAATTGATAATATTTTTCGTTAGAAGATAATTGTTTAGTGTGGTATAAATTTGTAGGAGTAATTAGTGTAGACTTTGGTAAGACAACCAATTAATCTGGAAAATAGTAAAGAATCTTTTGAAGTTTCAAAAACAAATTTTCATAACATTTTGGATCTATAGTCTTCATATATTCTGTAAATTTTAAAAAATATAATAACTTTGCATTTACAAAACTCTGCATGAAATTTTATTCCACAATAAGACATAACGCGTAAACTGGTTGATGGGAGAGATAAAATGTATATTTCATAATGCAAAATGTGTATTATTCTATCGAATATTCTAATACTGTTAATGTATTATATTTGGCGTGAACTATATTTGGCGGAAATTGATTTTTGAACAGGTTAGCGTAGATTTGATTTAGCTCATTTATTCATTTACGTATACATGAGTATATGTGCAAGACATTTAGCGTTGTACTTGAATCAGCAGACGTTTCTTTCCGCCAAAGGCGCTTAGAATACACAGCCAAATGTAATACGTTTACAGTATATTCGAATACTCCTCTAGAATATTCGAATATCAGTTATTGACATTTTTGACATCCCTAATTTTAACCTTTTTTCCCTATATTCTCTCATCCTGTAATTACGAATGCTGGTATCTTCTATATAAAAAATCATCACCTACCTAGTGACCATACTTTTTAACCTTGAGTCGGGAGAGGTCAAACACAAATTACTTTGAATATGGTATTGTGTTGTTGATTCATAGTCCAAATGTTATTAATTGTATGCATACATGAAATTCAATTGGGTGGAATAGTAAGTATTTTGCAAAAAGCTTCAGACAATCAAAGTAGAAGATGTATTCAGATGTATGCAAGTTCACTCATTTTCTTCTAGATTCTTCAAAATATCATATAAGTAGAGAAAATTCATATCCCCCCAAAAAAATCTTACCCAATCATCTTTGACAACAACAACAAAGGAAGGATCAACGCACTTGAATTCTGAGGATGCTTTGAATACCGTGATGCTTCCAGATATTTTATTGGAACACGTTTTTAATCGGTTAATACAGACTCGTCCTTGACTTGAGGAACTGGTATTTAGAAAGGTCGCATCAACAGTTACTTCATAGGTCACCACTAAAAAGGAAAGGTTGTGCCAACTGTAACTTCACAGACTACAGATGCAATGTTTCGACACATATATTAGTTATTTCATGAATTAGATCACAACTACATGTAAAGGTTGCGTCAACAGTTGCTACATACAAATGTAGTTCACCACTAAAAATATAACGCTATGTCAAGATCACTTCATTGGTACATGTGACCACTAAAAAGAAAGGTTGTGTCAAAAGTTATTTCATAAGTCACTTCTAAACTGAAAGGTTCTGTAGATAATTACTTCATAAATTACCGCTAAAAAATTATCTCAACAGCTTTTTAACAAGTCGCCTCATTAAAGATGTTGTGTCTAGATATATATATATATATACTTAATAGGTCGCCGTTTGAATAACAAACATTTTGTTTGTTCATTTGTTCTTTGTTTTGACACTGTTTGGGTCTGAAATACGCATTCTGTTTACTGTACATTTTTGCGTACCTCATTGAATAATATTCTGAACTTAAGATTCTATGATGTTTTTTGCTATATGCGTTTGTTTCTATTACGCAATGTGTTTAATTGTATTGGTATTGTCAATTATACTATGTGTTGACATATGTTGTTTGCTTTGTCATTTATTTATTAATAAATGACCATTCAAATTGCAACACTGCGTTTTCATTTGTGTCAAACAAAGCACCGCCATATCAGGTATCCATAAAATATTTTACATGCTTTCAAACATAGTTGATATGAAATAAACATGTGCATAAAGTTTTTAAATGCATAAGCACGTTCACCATATTGTCGATGTGTTATGATCTTGAGCTTATTTCTTTGCATAAACATTAAATAATGGAATAAAGAAGACAATATAAAGTTGTCTCTAAAACTGTTTACAAGTCAACCTTCACGAAATCATTACTTAAACGTTACTGTTTAAAAGTGACTTACAGACATCAGTCGGAATATTAGCGCCCTCGTATTCGAAACAGACATTGAATGTAAACTCCGTTGTGTTGTACCCAATGATAGGCATCGTCCCTCCTGAGGAAGGCACAAGATTCGTCGTCCTGGTTTCAACTTTCATCGTAATTGGACGATTTGTGTAGAGAACAAATACCATATCTGATCCATACGCACCAATCGCCACGTCTAAAAATGACACAAAATGCTAGAAATTAAGCCTTATATTTTCTTTTTATTATGAAGATTTCATTTGATATATTAAACAGAATACCACTGTTCTGTGATTCTTTAAAGTTACATAATGAGTCAAAATCTAGATAGGTTTATTCTTTTAAATATCTCTATCTTATAATTACAGAGAAAGATTTATGAAAATTATGAGTATATAGCGAATTTATTTTTAGCTCACACTTGTAAACAACATTCAATTGGAGCATGCAAAGGTGAGAAATATATTCTAACAAGTTTTTAAGAATATGTTTTGACAACTTTTTAAAAAGATTGTATCAAAATTCATGGTAACCATGGAAACTTATTCAACTTTTCTGCGCATGCGTTCAATAGGGAGGAAGAAGTAATTAAAGCAATATTTTCCTTACTGAAATTATTTTTACTTATATTTTTCTCCATTAGAATTTAAGTTCTGAAACCTGTAATTTTCAGAAACCTAATACTTTCAGGAATTGAACAAAATTTACAAGGATGATTCAGATATCAACATTCCAACGGCTCTCCCTTCTTTCTCAATGGTCATTTTGCCAATGTTTTGTGCTTCTTAGTGGAACCAGTTTTTAAAGTTTGATAATGATCTCAAAAAGATGCTAATTACACAAAACACGTGCTGCAAAGTTGAGACGTATTGTTTTTAAGCTTCGTCACGGAACATTATTTAGAAGACTCATTTGTTGTAACGATTTGAAAATGCAGTGTATCATACCATTCTGTAAAGTAGTTCTTTAAAAAATACATTTATTAGAGTGAACACTTAGAAGTTTTGTTAAGTGTACATTGCCCCAAACAAAGTTGTATCGATCTATCCACCATAGAAATCATGAAACAAAATCAAATTAAAACAGCAGTACTAATAAATATCCACAAATAAACATAGCCAGAGTTTATGAAATTACAAGAAAATATTCTTTATTATATATGTAAAAAAAAATCAAATATGTAACAATTCTCTTACTTTTACCTACAAAAAATACCGTCTCAAATATTTTCATATGCAGTATAACAATGTTTCAAGGAATATAAATGTAAAATAGTAAGTAAGATAATTACAAATACCTCGATGTTTATCGTTGTTGAAATCTATAGAATGTTGCGAAATTGAGCTACCAAATGTAGACAGTGTTGTACCAGAAGGAGCCACATTTGCTGCAGTAATTGTCTGTGTCAAGTAAAATCCTCTCCTGTACCCCATATACACATACATCGCTCCCTGTCCGTCATTCTCAAAAGGTGCCCCAATAACTACGTCTAAATACCAAAATTATACGATAAAAGTACATAAAACAATACAAAAGAAGAGCAGATCGAACACAGACCTACAATCCATCAGAGGTGAGATCGGGTGCCATGGAGGACAAACCAATCCCCTGCCGACCGGTCACATTCACGTTTTCTCCTTGTCATGATCGGGAAATAACGAAAAAATTCCGTCGATAATTCAGTGTGTATATAATGGCCTAACATGTTTATAATTACGTGTAGTAGGAAGCAATAAACGATAACCTATTCCTAATTCAGTAACATGTATGATGTAGATCAAGAGATCCAGATTTTTGAAAGCCTTTTATAATTCTGATTATGTAATAAGTTGAGTTGTATTATGACTATTATATTCAATTTTTTATACACATTAATATTTCTCATTTATCTCTTTAAAAAACCATTGAAGTTTACCAGTCTTTAATAACACTAAAGATATCAAGCAAGCAAATTTCTTGAGCAGTGTTTCTTCTATTAATGAAAAAGATAATAATGTTCATATCACTAACGCTAGTTCACATAATTTTATTGTTGATTAATTGATATATTTTCAGATAGATCATCGTTCGTTATTTTAGCTTTTAACTTTTTTTAAATTTCAATATTGCAACTATGATCACCATTACAAAAACAAAATGTTACCGTTGTAATCATCGTTGTTTAGATCATCAACGTTAGCCATTGCATAGCCAAACCTGCCTCTTCTAGATCTGGATCCATCTAAAGTTTGTATTCTTTTCAATGTGTTCTACAAAATCAAAGGATTTTCCCCCATCTTTTTCGATTGAAATGCTTCCAAATGTTACTATATCTATAAATGTCATTCATTATGTTATCTGTATTATTTGGCACGGAATTCTCTCTGTAGTATTCTGATTTGCAATAGGTTAATTATCAGTTTATTACAACGTACTGAGAGAGCATTCCTTAGAATTAATGTTTACAAATTCTATATTGTAAATTCAGGTTAGGTCATCTTCAAAATAATTTTTGCTTGCCCTCTCCCGACTAAGAGTAATAATATTGGGTCGGTAGGAAGGCGGCAAATTTCAACATAACTTTTGACAGAACAGAAATATTCGGGAATTAATTAAGGGAAACATATATTCAATACAGGAATTAAGATAGTTTTTCTCCAAGGCCTGGAGGTTAAAAAATGTTTCGAGTCTGGTCACATTTAGTCAGTCGGTCGTGATCGGAAGAGGGCAACTGAACAAATTTCAAATATGACCTATTACTGTAAACGTATTACATTTGGCTGTGTATTCTTTTTAGCGCTTTTGGCGGAAAGCAAATTCCTCTAATTCAAGTACAACGCTAAATGTCTTGTACATACACAAATAAAGAATAATTTAATAAGATACGCTAAATCAAATTTCCGCTAACTAGTTCAAAATTCAATATCCGCCAAATATCGTACACGCTAAATATAATACATTTACAGTATATCCACACTAGATATTTGTATTGTAGTTTGTATAATTTTGAATAACAACTCTGACACTTACATTTGATTGGGTTTTCCTGTAAACGTACACCTGGCCTTGATTTTCATTCACGTTGTAGTTATTAGAATACGTCTGCATTTCACTATACAACGGGGCTCCGACAAGGAGTTGGTCTGTGAGCAAACCTATTCCCGGCACAACGCACAACACAGATCCAAAATAGCTACCAGGCTAAACATAATATAATGAAGTCTTTTTTCAGTTATCAGTTTTGCATTTTCCCATTTTTCTTTTTCAAAAACATTATATATGCTAAGAAGAATGAAAGACTTCAGAAGTCTTGTTAAGGAGGCTGGGGGGTCAACAAATTAACCACCAGATTTAACTTATTTTTTAAGATACGGTATCTTAAGCTGTCAACTATCATTTGCAAAGAAAAAATGAATACATTTTAGCTTTAAAATTTGATCATTTTTGTATATCTTTATATGGAGCTCGTCTTTTAAAGGAGATCGAAATAGTCTGAAAATGGCTGCCACCCCAGCCTCTTTAATCTGAGTCAATCAGAATTACTAAGTCTTTTAAAATAGGCCAATGATTATTGATTTTTTTTAAACTGCATGGACTGTGATTTCTTTTAAGGTAGGATTCTTCTCACATTTCTTGTATTTAAAAATAAATGAAACTTTCACAGAATCAAGAGGACAATATCACTAAGTTATGGTATCAGTGAGATTAAATTTGACCGTTTAATATTAGAGGCAAGGTCAGGTCAAGGTCATTACCTTTTTCCTGGACATTAAGAATAAAAAAAATACTGTGTCCAATCAAGCAATTCCTACTCGTAATTCAAAAGTCTGAATGTTTTTCTTTTTGCATAAAAAGATAATACCGTATAGGGCCTATAAGATGATATTACCAAATTGACATGGATAATTTAAATAAAATGGATATTTGCTAATCCGAATTTCCTCTACTTTTCTTAAATTTTTAGGATTTATTAGTTATTTTTTCATGCTTCCTATATTTAAATTTTTCCAATTTTCACATATAGTAAAGTTGTCACATAAAGGTACAAAATGATACAAAAACTAAAAGTTTTGATCGTTTACTAAGAGAGAAATAACACTTTTTATGGATTTTTGGCTCAAATTTGTACTTAGATTTGAAGCATTTAAAAGCCAACATAGTTTTAGTTTGTGTGAAAAATCTTATTTATTTGATATATTTTGAAACTTTAGTCCTTTATTATTAATTTAACTTACATTTGAAAATTTCGTCTAGTCTTTGATTGCGTAAAAATTATAACTAAATTCAATGTTCTATAATAATTTTGAGAGGCAGAAAAGAAGATATTTTCATACGCCACCATTCCGCCAAAAATATAGTCCCTGCCAGTTTTCAAACGCAGTTTACCATTTCTATTTAAAGTTGTATAATTGTGATGAGGAAAGAAAAATATCGTCTTTTAAATCTCTTACATCTTAATATATAAGACATATCAACAAATGTAATTTGCATATTCCATCTAGCCAGAAACCAGAGAAGAATCCTACCTTAAGCGCCTTTGGCAGAAGCTAATTCAAATACATTAAACGTCTTGCACACATAAACATTAAGAACACTATGACACATTAGTCTTTTTGATAGTATAATCTGAAAAAAAAAAATGTTTAATACCTCAATTCCAACCAAAGTCTCCTTGACAACATTCTCTAAATCTGTGATAAGTACCTGAAGTAAAGAAAAAAATTTAATCGGTCTATGTATTCCAAGTACATGATCAATACTTATGGCTTTGGGTCCCGTTTAACAAATGAACTTAATTCCTTTTTAAAAAGATTAAAATAATTTTCAAATAAATTTAATAAGAAAGTTGTGAGCAGAATAAAATTTTGATCTTAGTCGTATGTTCCTTTGTAAAACGGACCCCTGATTAACAGGGGATAGTTATTCCTTTTAGGTACCTGATCCTTCCTCAAGAATGCTCGGGAATATAATTATTCAATGCCGTGTTCAAAAATAGAATAATTGTTTTATTTTTTAAAGCGACTTCGTATGGTTATTTTTACCCTTTCTACTCAATCACATTTCATTATACTCTAAACATCCTGTATAAAACTGAATGCAGTTTATTATGAAAAATGCATTTAACTAGCATTGACATCAAAGAAAATAGGCTCTATTACTTTATTTATGTTGCTGTAGTATGCTTTAATTTCAAAATGTCAGAAAATATATATATGATGATTTGAACACATTGTTATATCGCCCGCTTGAAAAGTGGGAGGCTATATATAGTAATCGGTATGTCCGTCCGTCCGTCTGTCTGTTACGCTTTGGGGTACACATCTCTTATCCGCAACTCCTCTCATACCACTGAAGGAAATTTAATGAAACTTTCACAGAATCTTTATTACATATTGCCATTGTGCACCTCCTATTTTACTTTTTGATCTGACATATATTTATTATCTTTTACCCCTGACTTATGCTTGTGTGATTCTGGGTTTTCTTTAAGCAAAATTATTTTCTCATTATGTTAATGAACCAGTATGTGAATTAATAGAACAGTGATCAATTCAAACATTATATTAACAACACTGTCCTGTTGCAAATTCTGAATTAATCGAGCGGCAGTTTATAAAAAGAAAAACAATATTAGTATGACAATTCAATCCAAAACAGGACAAAAGATAGACCGTCGAAAAAATCATAGGTTGGATCTATATATCTTGATAAGGAGTATTTATAGATATAAAATAAATATCTAAAATTGATATCTGAACCTTGCCAGATCCCCCGTCCCGCGGGCCACCAATGGCAAAATAGTATTGTCCATCTCCATAAAATCTGCCAACATTCATATCATAACCTGAAAAAAGAACATAACTGCTTTTCCTCGCCTATATGACGGGATATATCGATACATCCCGTCATACTGTAGATCACTTAATTTTCGCGACACCTTATTTTCGCGAGATAGTCATTGACTCTTTATTAGCGAGATAAAATTTTCACGAATTGTGGTCATTGCTCTATGTAATATTAAGGAATTCTATTTTACGCGAGAATGAATTTTTCGCGAGCATACCGTCTCGCGTAATTACGCGAAAATAAAGTTCTCGCGAATAAAAAGTGATTTACAGTATTCTTTTTATAGGCAACCCAAAATTCTTTCGGAGGAATTCTTTCAATTGTTGTTATGAATTTTTTTGAATTTTTTTGTCTGTCAATGGACGTCTTCACTTTACAGAATGGCATTTGCAGATTACGTGTTGCTCACGGTATTGATATATAAGTATCTCTACAGATCTTGATCAACCAGTCAAATACCATCATTTCACTTTCTTTTCCACGTCTGAACTTTCTAATCTAATTTCACGCCATGAGTAAGTATGTACAGAATCATCAAAACAGATCTTCAGTAAGGTTCCTTAGAAGTTATTCTATGAACCTAGTTTTCGAATCTGTACTCGATCAATTATATCTTCTTAGCAGAGATCTCTTATTTATATATATAAATTAAAACGTAGTTAAATTACCATGCCTGAAAGTGAATTTCCTTGCAAAGAAGAAGCTAAGGAAAAGCATGTCGTTCTGATGAAAAAAATGTTCTTATAAAAAATTCTTTTTGAATGTGAAATAAATAATACAGGCCTATTTTGTTTCGATGTGCCATCCTTTTGCTAACTTTTTAATATGATGTTTTGATTCTATTTTGTGGCCTATTTTGTGTTGATGTGCCATCTTTTTGCTAACTTTTTCATATGAAGTTTTCATTGTCTTGTCTTACAGATACTTTTTTCTAGTCAGTTTGGGGGGATCAGACATTATCATATTTTACGTAACTGCTAATCAAAGCTTGTGAATCTGATCCGCTTCTTGTTTGTTAAATTGTTCACATTTATACCGTCATTTTAATAAATGACATTATTCATCTTGAAAGTGTTTTATTTGACTTTTACAAAATTAGCAAAAACAACCTGCGGTGAGCTTGCATATAAGCATAAGAATACATAAATACATTTATTGCGATAATGCATATGTTGCATTAATTATTGAATAACCCTTGTACATATTTTTCTTCTTACCATACATTTGCCCTTGTCTAGCTGGTGTGGTGTTCACAGCCTTTACTGAGTAGCCAGTATTAGCTTCCACACGAAGAATGCCACCTATTGCCAAAAAAAAAAAAAAAAAAAAAATGAGAAAATCCTCGTACTGCGAACAGTTATTTTCTTTCCATATCATGTTTCCCTTTCACGTTTGCAATCAATTTTGCCCCGTTTTAAAATAGTCCAGTTTAAGTTGCTGTTTAAAAAAATTATACTTTGTTATTTATTTTTTCCCCTGCCAGTAGGAGGAAAGGGAAAATAAATAAATAAAATGGAGTGTGATAAATTCACTGTGCATATGATGGTATTTCTTTACGAAAACACTTGATATGCGTATATCCAATATCAAAATATGATAATGATATTTTAAAAGACATGAATTAAAATATTGACTGAACCTTTTTCTTAGAAATGTAATCGATTATGCTAATAGTGGAACATTGTCAGATTTATATCTTAGGGGAGAACCATTGCTCTTTGGTACTTCTACTTGGTGGAAATTACAAGGAACTAAGCTTAAAACTCTACAACTCTTAACCATGCGACTTTATTCTTGCAGTTTTAAAAAATACGGAGAATTTATAAATATTTTTACTGTTACAACATTCATTTATTAAAATTATGCCATTTAAACAGTTCTTTTGATGATTTTGCTTATGTTGTTAAATAAGAGAGAATTTTTTGTTAACAAATACTTCCGTTAACCTTTGTCTGATATCTTTTTAAAAAGTCGCTACCTTTACTATTATAAATTTTTAATCATTGATTATTTTAATACTATATACAGCAGGAATTATTGTGAGGTATGTCCATTGCACGATGTTTTTTCGATATTGTCGACATCGCTGTAAAAATACCAGTCCTCCTAATATCTTAACATATTCAACATGACAATAATACCTTCGTTTGTCTCTCTACATATTAAATTGTTTAACAACATAACGTCAACATCTTGTTCACACTGCCTTCCCCTTTTCTGTTGTTTACATCGTTTACATCGTCGACATCGCAATGTTGGAGTCGACATCGTGTCAACATTGCCCTTCTTATTTTTCTTTTATATATCGTTCACATCGTCGACATTGCAATGTTGGATGATATCGCGTCGACATCGAGTCTACATTGCCCTTCTTATTTTTCTTGTTTACATCGTTCACATCTAGTCGACATCGTGTCAACATTGCTTGTATTGACCAGTTTACATCGTTGACATCGTCGACAATGCAACGTTGGTCGATATCGAGTCGACGTCGTGTCAACATTACCCTTCTCATTTTTCTTGTTTACATCGTTCACATCGTGGACATCGCAATGTTGGTCGATATCGAGTCGACGTCGTGTCAACAGTGCCTTCTTTTTATCTTGTTGACATCGTTCACATCGTCGACATCGCAATGTTGGTCGATATCGGGTTGACGTCATGTCAACATTGCCCTTCTCATTTTTTTTTTGTTTACATCGTTCACATCGTCGACATCACAATGTTGGTCAATATCGAGTCGACGTCGTGTTGACATTGCCCTTCTCATTTTTCTTGTTTACATCGTTCACATCGTCGAAATCACAATGTTGGTCGATATCGAATCGACATCGTGTCAACAGTGCCTTCTTTTTATCATGTTGTCATCGTTCACATCGTCGACATCGCAATGTTGGTCGATTTCGGTTCGACGTCGTGTCAACATTGCCCTTCTCATTTTTCTTGTTTACATCGTTCACATCGTCGATGTCGCAATGTTGATCGATATCGAGTTGACATCGTGTCAACATTGCCCTTTTTCTAAATCTTGTTTACATTGTTCACATCGTCGACATCGCTATGTTGGTCGGTAATTGAGTTGATGTTGTATGAACATTGCATTCCTATCTTTTTTGTTTATATACTTAGCATCTGTGTTGGCCTATATCGAGTCGTCATCTTGTCAAAATTAAGTTTCCTTTTTTGTTATTTTATTTTGGTAAAATCATTGACAATGCATTAAACGCATAAAATCAAGTAGAGTTCATATTGATAAGGCAATATATTCTGTTTACTTTTTGCACATCATCACCATAGCAATCTTTCACTCTTATGAGTCCACAAGTGGAATCAAGTATGAAGCATGTCTCTTACATTCTGAAAATGAACTAAAAAATGATTTCCAACCTTGGAAACAGTGTTTGTCATCTGTACAGTACATGCAAAATAGTTTTAACATTAATTACATTGCGTTGTCAATATACCTGGTACAGTGTAGAAATAAAAGCAATGTAGACAATGTAAACGCAATGTCGTATCAACATTGTTTACGTTGCGATGTCGACGATGTCGTCATGTAGATATAATAACAATGTAGACAATGTAAACGCGATATCGTATCAACTTTGTTTACATTGCGATGTCGACGGCGGCGATGTCATCATTTAGAAATAATAACAATGTAGACGATGTAAACGCGATATCGTATCATCATTGTTTACATCGCGACGATATCGTAATGTAGAAACAATGACAATGTAAACGATGTAAACACAATATCGTATCAACATTGTTTACATTGCGATGACGACGATATCGTCATGTAGAAACAATAACAATGTCGACGCTGTAAACGCGATATCGTATCAACATTGTTTACATTGCGATGTCGACGTTGACGATGTTTTTATGTAGAAACAATAACAATGTAGATGATGTATTCACGATATCGTATCAACATTGTTTACATTGCGATGTCGACAATATCGAATTGATTAAGGGAACTGGACATGAATGATTATTGTAGTTCTTTAAATCTGATCCTTTCAAAATGTGAGTACAGAAATTAAAATATAATACACACCTATATTTTTTCTTGTAGTTTTGCATAAATATTAGCAACATCTTTTAGAACTATAATATTTACGATTTTCTTGCTCAGTTTGCAGAAGGGATGCAGAAGCAATCTTTTTCAGATTTAATTTCAATGAATACAAAAACAGAATGGTATGAACTATTTACCTGCAAGTTCATTCAAACCTGGAGATCCCAGAAAAACCTTCAATGAAAAAATCATTGCCTTTGAAATTATAGCATCAAGATAGTGTTTTACTACAATTATTAAGCAAAAAATTTTTTTAAAAATATTATTGAAAAAAAAATCTCTTTCATCTGTAAATACAGTTCTACTTGCATCAGTTTTATAGTATTTAATGGAAATTCCTGATGATGAGACTCCATATTTTATGGTCTTGTTTATCGCAGACTCATCAGCAACTGGGAACTGGTCGTCGCGATCGGAACTGTGCAGTCCCCGTAAGATTTTGGGATCAACAAGCCCGGACCTATCTCCTTCTAACCATCCAAATGGCACCTCATAACACAATCCATTCATCGCACTTACATTGTTATCAGAGCTGATCCTCATCCATCGCGGGCCACAGAACTAATGAAAATGTGGAATAAATGCATATCAATTATTTGTCAGATAAAATTAATCGCTTATCAAATTATTCTGCCAAAAATACATGTAATATGTTTGAAATTCACAGCAAAAGAGGTTCTAGTAACCTGCCAAAATGATGTTTCCTAGGTTGAAGCGCCTTGCAATTTTAATGTAACTACATTGTAAGTGGTTGCAATTCTTTTCTTTCTATAAGAATAGTAGAAGCGTCATCGTGATCGACTTCCTGTCTAGCAAATATAACTTGTCATTCGGCCGTACTTTTGTTTCAAACAATTGTTAGCATTTGTTTTTATGTTTTTGTAATAAGTTTGACAACGGATTGTTCCGTCTACAAGATCAATTCATAAGCTTCATGGCGGGAGTGCTAGGTCTAGAGAGCATGTTTACTCCTTTGAAGCACCTGATCCCAATCCCTAGATTTCATACTCTGTTCCATCACTGTTCGTTCTTTTTCACCCTTTTCCCATTTAAATAGACAAAATTATTAAGTATTAAGCATTTCCTTTAAAAATGAAGGAAATGGATTTTTTAAAAAATAAGAGTTGAATCGAATAAGAAATTACTACAACGAACACTGGCACATTTGTCTTATATTTGATATTTTACTGAAAAATTGTAAATGTTAACCTGGCAAAAAATTATTACAACAGTGATGAGTTTATTATCTTCAATCGCCATCTTCTCTTACATCTGAAGCTTTATACACTTATTACCTATGTATACGGTTTAAGTCTCCAAATGCATTCCATACCCATGAACATGTTCTACATTAGAAAAATTTCTGAATGAAGGCAAGTTATGAACAAAAAAGTTAATGATACAAGGATATCGACAATTTGTTTCAATCATTTCGCAAGTTCTAAGGTCGATGAAATGACCTTGTCACCAAATACAACTATCATTACGGTGTATTCTGACTGGCATTTTCAAAATTATTGTGAGGCCATTATTCCCACATTGAATTGTCTATATTTTCCGTATCAAGAAGCACAGGACGGGTTTTATCGGTCATAACATGCTTGTTCCTTTATGGCAGTAATTCAACCTCTGTTGTTCTAGAGGTCAGTGTTTGCTCTCCCCCTTTCAGTATAATTGTTTATGAACTGTTGAGCTTGTTTACTGTTCATGTTCTCCGTATTTCATTCATGAAAGATGTACACTGTAGAATCATTATTGTTCATGAGGAAAAAGGTTTGTGGATTTCGTGGGTCACCCTTACTCACGAATTTACATCCACACGAACGTTTATTTTGCTAACATATTGATTTATTGAACCATCATATTTACGATTAACCTACGAAATTGCGTCTCAATGAAGAGGTCAAATTTTCCTTACTAAAGAACCCCCACGAATTAAAATGATTCACAGTATATTACAAAATTTTAAGAAAACATGGATTCATTTACTTATCTTTTGCACCACGCAGCGTAAGTTCTACATGGAACATATGGAGATAACGAGATAATTCAAGATCAATAGTCCATAAAACAATACAAATTAGAAGCAGAGCAAACACGGACCAGGTTGGATCAGGTGCCAATGAGAAGTGAGCATCCCCAGCTGACCGGTCACACCCGCCGTTTGCTGTGCTCCTTGTCATGTACGGGAAATAAATCTGTCGTCAATTCGGTGTTGAAATAATGGACAATAAGTATGAAAAACGTCAGTCAGCATTTGACTCGAAGATAAATTGTATTTTCTGACAAGGTCATTGTATCGACCATAGAACTTACGAAAGATGACTTTAAACCAGACTGCTAATAATCTTGTTTCATCAACTTGTTTGTCAATAATTTACCTCGTTTTATAAATTGTTTATACGTAGAGCATGCTCTTGCGTATCGAATCAACTGAGATATATAAACTCCCAATACAGGTGATGAAGGTAAGTTTTTGCATAAGTAAGGGAAGTTGACGATGGAAAAGTTAAAGTCATCACGTTTATCATACAGCTTGTTTGTTAGACTACCATTAACGTCTCTTTCAAGTAAAATATCCAAATATGAAACAGGTGTGTCATACTCTTTTATCTCTCACTATGATATATCGTATCGACACAAGAATGGAAATTATCATTGTTAATTGACAATACGCACAATTTTGCTTGATATGAATACAAAAATAGGCTGCTAATAACGGGGCGCAATTGGTACCCATGGGAATTCCAACAGATTGTTGGAAGACTTTATCTTCAACACAACATAGATATTATCAATAAGAATCTCAAGCATGTTTTTGAGGTCAACTTCAGAGTGCTGGGTGTACAATCAGAATATTTTTTAACAAAATAATTTTGCAAATGACCAATGAAAAGGTAAAAAAATTTACGACTTCCATTTTTATTGAAAAAGCAACTGTCAATGATATCGAAAAGCCTAGACTTTAATCAATCATGGGGAATGGTTGTGTATAAAGTTGAAAAGTTGTAAGTGTTAAGGTCCTTAAGGTAAAATTTTGTGATTGTAATAGTATAGAGACAATTTTCCGGTTGAAAAAGTAGAGGAAAATGGACTTCCTCTACAATACCGGTAGACCAACATTATATGTCATGAACCTCATAAAATATTTAGAGCTAAAAACATACTGTTCGGACTTACAGAAACTGCATTTGCTTCCAAACCAACATCCACAGACGCACCTAGCCACATCTCAGACCGGTCTTCCGTAAATCCCACTCCAGAATTTTCAACTGCATAGATATAAAGATAAGGCCTTCTTTAAAATTATTGTTAGGTTACCCTCTCCCGACCAACTGACAAAAGATGGCCCGACCCAATTTTTTTTTTTACATTCCATGACAAGATTTTTTTTTCTTTTTATTCCTCTTATCCCATCAACAAATATGACGAAATTTTTTGAGGGAAAAAAATCCTGCATACCAACCGACTAAATAATACATATACCCTGACTCGGGAGAGGAAAATCAAACATAAAGGTTGCCTAAAAAATTTCCGCTATTATTTTTTTTGCACAGATAAACACAGTAAGTCAAAGACAACTTGAATTGTTGATCCTTTAAAAAAGAGAGAAAAAAAGACGTCTGAGCGTTATTCAGCGCCTACCTTGCGGAACTAATACCGTTTTGCAGTCAGAGAGATTTTTAAATCCCGGACTACAAAAGTACAGTGCCCCTGTCGCCATGCCGAAGTCATCGTCCGTTGCTTTTGGTGATCCAATCAGCAACCTGTCCAAAATTTAATAATCAAAAATCATGCAGACCTATTTTTCTAAACATATTAAGCAGAATTTGTTAAAGTCTTATACGCGAAAAAAAAGAAGAAAACAGGTGTTTTGGCCTTCAACTCGATATTTAGATATATCGACACAACGTTTTGTCAATAAACTTTGGTTATTTCCATTCTTATGCCGAGATGATATTTCAAGTGAGCTTGAGAAAAAAGATACCGAGGAGTCTGACAGAATCTGTTTCATATTTGAATATTTTCTTGAAAAAGATGTTAATGGTAAATTTAACAGCCAAGCTTTACGATAAATGTGATGACTTTAACTTTTCAATCGTCATTCCCTTACTTATGCAACGATATCTTTATCTTCATCCCCTGTATACGGGGTTTATATCTCTCAGTTGATTCGATATGCAAGAGCCTGATCTACATATGTACAATTTATGAAATGAGGCACATTACTGACAAACAAGTTGATGAAAAAAAAATATCAGCAGTTTCGTTTAAAGTCATCATTTCTTAAGTTCTATGGTCGATACAATGTTCTTGTTAGCAAATACAATTTATCATTGAGTCAATCCTGAAGAATGTTTTTCATTTTAATTGTTAGGCCATTATTTTCACACTGAATTGTCGACGGATTTTTTTCGTTATTTTCCGATCATGATCATGACAAGAAGCACACTGCCGGTGTGACCGATCGGCAGGGGATGCCCACTCCTCCATGGCATCAGATCCTACCTATGGAGGTCCACGATTGTCCTGCTCCTATTAAATATTGTTAAATGGACTTTTGAGCCTGAATACATTTCGTTATCTCATATTTCATTGTCAAGTACGCTGCATAATGTAGCTCTCGAAAACGAGAATAGTTGAAAGATGTTTAAGATTTTTTAGATTATTCTTTTGCCATAATTGAACTAAGAATTAGGAGAAATTAAAAGAGTGTTGAGCACAACTTTTTGTGAGCAATAAATATACAGTATTTTGGCAGCGTATATTTAATTTCATGAATCCAGTTTCTTTTTTTTTCTAGAGAGCGAGCTTCTTTTACACTCTATAGCTCCACACAACGTATTATTCACGAAATAAAACATATTCATCAAATAATGTTTGCTTACGAATTTTCTTACTTACCAAACATTCTTACCCCTTGTGGCAAAATCTAGCGAATAACCAAACATGGAGCCCGGTTCTCCGGCCAGAATTTTAGCCTCTTTGATTCCAACATTGAACGCTGATATCACGGGGATAAATACAAATAACAGACATAAATCTTTCAACGACATGATGGTTTGTCTTATATCATAACAGGGTACAGCCTTTTTGATGTTGCAAACGTGTTAATCAAAGTAGCTTTTTCCTGAATGACGAGCAGCAATGGAAGTTGTGGTTAAGTTTCTTATATAAAATTGATAAAAGTAATAGGGAGCATTCTATCGAACAGCGGAAACATGCATTTAAGATTGTATCACCTTTTGAAGGAAGTAGACATCCTTATTTTGTTGAAGTGACTTAAGCCTTTTTATTGTAAGCATTAAAACATTGTGTTAAAATAACATATATACATGTATATATATTTTATAATTTGAGCTATTTTGTTCAGACAAGGAGTGGTTTTGCTTTTCTTTATTTCATAATTATGTCTAACGTTCTACTAACATTGCTTGAAGTTCAATATTTATATATTCTTTCGCATTTTTTGCAGAAATAATTATTGAAGAGCAAATATATCAAAGTCAAAGAGTAATTTTATATAACAATAAGATAATTATGTAAAACGAGTGAGTAACAAATTGTCGACAAACAAATGTCCATTAAATATGCATTTCAGTGTAATTATAGTATTTTTCCGATATTATTAATGCGTCAACGAAAATCGCGCTTCGAAATTAAGGTTTCTAAACGAAATTAGATTACTGTGAAATCATCAATTTTCATTGCGGGGTGGGGGTGGGGGGTTTAATTTTCGTTGTTTTCGAGGTATTGAGAAACCCACGAAATCATGACTACCAAATATAAATTTTTTTATGCATTACTTACTAAATATTCTCCAACCACGAAATCAAATCCCCACAAACCGATAATTTTGAAAAACTCGAAAATTTGACCCCACGAAAATGTGTGCTTTTACAGTATTCTGCAGTTGGCTGAATATCATTGTTTTGGAATCACATATTAGGAACAAATAAAGAAGTATAAAGATATCCTCAGTGCAGCTCATTGTTACAATGCTTTTTTATACATTAAATCTTAGGTTACGGACATCAAAATAAGTATTCAAATGTTGAAGCTAAAAAGCTTTCATCTGTTCATGTCAAAATAACTTCTAAGGTATAGCGTTTCACTAATACATGTACCAGTAAAGTGAGTATTGGATACGTAAATTTCGTATTCGAATATGCTCATCAAATGTTAATTATGATGTTAATTATCATATATGTACCAGTAAGGAACAACAAAGAAAAAAAACACTGAAAAGGAACTTAGTTGGTCCGTGATCAATTCTACTGCAAAATCATTCAAGCATCATGGGATTTGATCTCGTGACTAATTGTGTTTATTTTAAATCTTCTTTTTTTTGTATTTTTTAGATACAAGGAGAAAATGCACGTTCTTGATATTTTACCATAGCTTAAGTATTCAAGGACCAGTCAAAAGTGAAGGAAAACAATCAAACAAAACCATGTACATGTAAGGTTTTTTTTTCAATCTTACTAATGATGTTTTAGTATCCTTCCAAGTAGGTTAATTCGTGATATTGAATTGCTTCAATATTTATAAAAAATGTAAGTTTTTAACATATCTAAAACAATTACATTATCTTTCCCGCTCAATGTCACTAAAAAAAAGAGGGCTATATCGGCCACATCATTCACTAAGACCATTAACTAAAGACAAAGAAATCAGTATGAAATTGAAGGGGGAGGGAGCAAACTTTAATTTACACTACCTCAGGATGTTTCCATATAAATATTACTATTCATGGCTTTGGTGTTCCTAAACAGAAGAATTTTAAATATATCTTTTCCTATGTTTTCTACCGTCACGGAAGTGTATCCTGTAGTCCGTGAGTTCGATATCCGGTCGCAACTGTGCTAAGTCAGATAAAATACGGAGTAACAGTTCCTTCGCCAAGTGCTCGAACATTGTGAAGTGAAAGTTGCGGGTCCCTCGCATGAGACCTCAATAACCGAGTCCCTATGTCATGGCAGGCGGAGGCACGATAAGATCCGTCATTGCTCAATGATACTGAGTGCCAATGACTTTGTTTTGATGTTTATTTCGAGACTGAAGTTTTTGTGTTACAATACACATAAACTTGCTTTGAAATGTTAATTTAAATATACTGAAAATGATAAAGGGGGAAAAGGCGCGGGAGAAGGGTGTCTTATTTAAGCCGACTGGCAATCATACAGTTTAATGCTGTGAAGGAAGGAATTTTTCTCGCTCTAATTATAGACTCTGTATATGTAAAGTAGAGATACAATTATATTGATAATGTATCAGATTTTAAACAAATAATTTACTTTAACATTCTTTCAATTTTGTTCGCTCTAAAGGTATTTAATTAACTGAATATTGGCAGTATTATTTTTAATTCTCAGAACTATTCCTAAAATGTTTTCGTGTATTATAAAAAAAGGTGTAAGATATAAATACATGTACTTCTTGTATTTTTGCTGCAATTGGTAAATTCCCTTGTAAAAGATTTGGATTTTTATTTGATCTTTTACATAACAAAAAAATGTTGCCGTGCTTGAAATATTTGTAAATTGCCCTTATTTTAATTTAATATTTTAGCATCATTTTACATACATGTAGGTACTTGCTGTGCTTATAAAACATTTATTTTCCAGAGAAATTTAATTAAATACTATCAAAAAAAATTGTCTAAGATGTCCATTGGTTTGGCTAGTCAATTCCAGGGGTTGTCAAGTCATACCATTATTTGAGGTCTTCAATGACATTTACTCCAAGTTCTTTAACCATTACACCTACAAGTATACCAAACTATGTAAATCTTTCACCCCTTGTTGTGGTACTGCATGTCCTTCCCCCACGGGTCATGATTAGAACAAGCTTGAATCTACACTTCCTGAAGATACTTCTATTATAATGTGACTTAACATTTTAGTTGCTGTTCTAGAGACGACCATTTTCCTGTAAACATTTGCTGTAAACAAACGTTAGTCCCCTTCATCCCGTGATGCTTTGTTGCAAGTTTCATTGAAATTTGACAAGTAGATCTTGAAAAAAAAGTCGAACATGTGAAAAGTTTACAACGATGACAGACGGACAACGGAAACTCTTTGATTAGAAAAGCTCATCTGAGCCGAACTCACATTAGCCTTCGGCTCAGGTGAGCTTATAAGAAATTAAGAATGAGAAAGTGTATGCGATTATTTCTAATCGTTGCCAGAAAACTTATGAATATAAGTTATACGTTATTGCGGTTTTTCATTAATGTCACCCTTCGAACCAGATCTTTATTAGCATTAAAGATCAACATTCTCTTTTACTATAGGTTGCAGAAAATGATGTGAATCATCAAACATAATACAAAATAATACTCTTACAGGTTAATTGATTGTAGCTGTTTAACCTCCCTCTCGAGAATTTTTCACTTAATTGGAGACGCCACAATTTGTCGGTGTAGAGCTGCCAATTTTGTCCTATACTCGGCACTCAGGGACATTGAGCGAGCATTGAGGGGTCTTTTTCGTGTCAGCGCCTGCTGCGAAACGGGACCTCGGTTTATAATGAATGTCTCATCCCCAGGACCGTTAATCACGTCCCACAGTGGGATTCGAACCCGCGACTTAAGAATTAACTTCTATTTTGCCACTTTAGAGCAGATCTGGACGCTCTAACCACTGCGCAACGCGGTCGACAGAGTATGTACAGAAAAATTTATTTAATTTCCAAGCAATGAGGAAAAACAGTCACCTGGGAAACTACAAAAGTTAATAAATACTATACAATCAAACAAAAAGATTTATGATTTCATGTTTTTAACGTCCCTCTCGAGAACTTTCAAACAAAAAGAAAAATGATTTAAAGATTAACATGAACCAAAAGTAATTAATATTCGGACATTCCTAATTACATCATTAGTCAAGCCATGCATGACAGGTTCAGATTTGATAGCATGCCTTGCTTGATGGCTATTAAACACTAATTAAACTGCAAAATGACCGTAATGTAACATGTCACATGGTGATGCGTTTTGAAACCGGACATTTATAATAAGAAATACTTACTCATGTCAGCAAAAAGGACAAGATAGTGTAAATGTATAATGTTTGGCGTGTATGATACTAGTATTTGGCGGAAATTCATTTTTCAGCAAGTTAGCGTAAATTTGATTTAGCGCTATCTGAATGTGCTAGGTGTTAATGTATGACATACAAAGCACTTTTGAAGTGCACTTTATTTTGTGAACTCTTCTTTCTGCCAAAATCTTTGAATAGAAAACACCGCCAAATGTAATATAATTACATTACTTTTTATTCAGCTCAGATTTCACCATGAAGAAACAATTAATGCCAAAACCATCCCTTTCCTGAATGAAAACTTTCACTTAAAACATTTCACTACATAAAAAATCGTGATGCATTCTTTTTTTAAATAGCAAATTCAACGGCCCTGTATATAAAATTTTATTAAAATACCTCAAATTGCGTTTAGAGTTCGGGAAAGAAGTACACAATAATAAAATACAATTTATCAGATTGACGTTATGCTTAGAAACTGCAATTACAGATCTTAATTTTTAACTCCTTTTTTAAAACTTTGTCCACAGTAAAAGAAATCTAAATTTTAGACAAATCTAATTAAAATTAGACCTTTCATCTCGCTCTTTGTAAATTGATTTGTCGCTCGTGCGACAAATCAATTTACAAAGGACGAGATGAAAGGTCAAATTTTAATTAGATTGATTGGGGATTTATACTATAATAGAGAGATCTATTTATTACATTTTCTTCTGTTTCAACTGGAAATCCACATAATCGAGCAGAGAGAGAGAGAGATCTAATATTATACGATATTGTTTCTGTACGTTGGTCAGAACGCCTATATCATTAGCTATCTTAGAATGAGAATAAAAGAATTATTTGCCATGTTAGAAGAGTAATATGAGTTAAGGTAGAGAGAGAAATATTCAAATTACAGCTTATAGAGAGTAAGAGATTTAAAAGACCATATTTTTCTTTCCTCATCAAAATTGTACACCTTGAATAGAAATGGTAAACAGCGTTTCAAAACTATCAGGGACTATATTTTTGGCGGAATGGTGGCGTATGAAAATATCTTCTTTTCGGCATATCAAAATTATTATAGAGCAACGAATTTAATTATGA